AAGTCAAAATAGCGTCACAGGAATACGATTTCTCCTGATTATTTAATTAAGAAAATAGTAGCCTGCTATGTAGGCCTATGCACACTAACATGTTCACTTTGGTTTTACTTGGATGCTTGCCAGACACTAGCCAGGGCACTTAACTGTTTCTGCATTCAACAACGTTAGCCATATCAATGCCTTGCCAATGCAAGACAACAACTAGTTACCTAAAGCCAAAACAGACTGGCACCCAAGCTAGCCAAACACACCCCTATAATTCAACAGATTGTAATACTCTAAAAAGAGATTCGGAATCGGTACCACCCTCTATTCTTGCCGATACCACGTTCCCACAGTAGACACAATAATGAGAGAAAAGCATTGACTAGAAAGTGCAAGGGGGTGTGGGGCTGAGAAAGAGAGCACATAGAGAGAGAGGGAGAAAGACAGAAAGAGTAGAGATGGAAAGAGACTGAGAAAGCAGAGAGAGTGATATATAAAGAACATGGTGAAAGAAAAAGAGGTTTAAAGATAAAGCCAAGGGTTGAATTGCAAAACACAGTGAACTGGGTCGACAGCCTTTTGAAAGAGGGTAAACAACAGAAAGTTCTCTGGCCTTGACAGGGGAACACGGGATAAATCTGTTGGCCAATTAACTGAGCCGTGTGCTGCTGCTTCAAATGCAGTCCGTTGCCTGCCGCAGAGATTTTTACGCTTTTCATCGGCGGCCTTTAGGGGAGAAAGAGTTGGATTTTTATCAGTCCACAGCATATTTATATGAGTGCCTCGTGGGATTGTTTATGCAAAACAATTAAAACGGATCCCTACAACACCTTTCATACACTGTCCACACTGCACCAGACCTGGGTTCTAATAGTGTAAAAAATATTTTAAATACTTTTAGCTTGGCTTGATTGAGAATGCTTGGCACAACTGAACCAATGGAATAGTCCCAAAAGTGCAAACACCACCCATCTGGCTCTCAAGGCAGGTTCAAGCAAACACTCAAAAGATTTGAACGATTTTAAGCACTATTTGAACCCAGGTCTGTTGTGCATTCTCACTCAGCAGGGTGGTTTCCCCTAACGGTATTGTACCAGAGACAGATAAGCTATCGGCCCATTCTCCTTAGCAGACCCACCGATTAACCTACAGTAAAACTAGCACTTGAGAAGTGATTAAATTGAGGTCAGCTGTTGAACGCGGAATGAGGCAGTGCTCAGTTTGTTGTTTTGAAAGTGTCTGAAAAAGTGTTTATATTGGAAAAGTTGTATTTTTACCAATGACATGCCACTGGCATTAAATAAAGCCTGTGCGTCCATGTATGCTGATGATTCAACCATATACAGTGGGGGAAAAAAAGTATTTAGTCTGCCACCAATTGTGCAAGTTCTCCCACTTAAAAAGATGAGAGAGGCCTGTAATTTTCATCATAGGTACACGAAAATCAGAAACTCAGAAAAAAATGTGTAGACCTCCACAAGTCTGGTTCATCCTTGGGAGCAATTTCCAAACGCCTGAAGGTACCACGTTCATCTGTACAAACAATAGTACGCAAGTATAAACACCATGGGACCACGCAGCCGTCATACCGCTCAGGAAGGAGACGCGTTCTGTCTCCTAGAGATGAACGTACTTTGGTGCGAAAAGTGCAAATCAATCCCAGAACAACAGCAAAGGACCTTGTGAAGATGCTGGAGGAAACAGGTACAAAAGTATCTATATCCACAGTAAAATGAGTCCTATATCGACATAACCTGAAAGGCCGCTCAGCAAGGAAAAAGCCACTGGTCCAAAACCGCCATAAAAAAGCCAGACTACGGTTTGCAACTGCACATGGGGACAAAGATCGTACTTTTTGGAGAAATGTCCTCTAGTCTGATGAAACAAAAATACAACTGTTTGGCCATAATGACCATCGTTATGTTTGGAGGAAAAAGGGGGTGCTTGCAAGCCGAAGAACAACATCCCAACTGTGAAGCACTGGGGTGGCAGCATCATGCTGTGGGGGTGCTTTGCTGCAGGAGGGACTGGTGCACTTCACAAAATAGATGGCATCATGAGGAAGGAAAATTATGTGGATATATTGAAGCAACATCTCAAGACATCAGTCAGGAAGTTAAAGCTTGGTCGCAAATGGGTCTTCCAAATGGACAATGACCCCAAGCATACTTCCAAAGTTGTGGCAAAATGGCTTAAGGACAACAAAGTCAAGGAATTGGAGTGGCCATCACAAAGCCCCGACCTCAATCCTATAGAAAATGTGTGGGCAGAACTGAAAAAGCATGTGCGAGCAAGGAGGCCTACAAACCTGACTCAGTTACACCAGCTCTGTCAGGAGGAATGGGCCAAAATTCACCCAACTTATTGTGGGAAGCTTGTGGAAGGCTACCCGAAACGTTTGATCCAAGTTAAACAATTTAAAGGCAGTGCTACCAAATACTAATTGAGTGTATGTAAACTTCTGACCCACTGGGAATGTGATGAAATAAATAAAAGCTTAAATAAATCATTCTCTCTACTATTATTCTGACATTTCACATTCTTAAAATAAAGTGGTGATCCTAACTGACCTAAAACAGGGATTTTTTACTAGGATTAAATGTCAGGAATTGTGAAAAACTGAGTTTAAATGTAGTTGGCTAAGGTGTATGTAAACTTCCGACTTCAACTGTAGATTCAATGGTTGTAAAGATGGGAAGAGGTCTGTCCGTAATAAAGAGATGTTCTGCTTTTTTGACACCACACTCCACAAAGCAAATCCTGCAGTCTCTAGTTTTGTCTAATCTTGATTATTGTCCAGCCATGTGGTCAAGTGCTGCTGAGAAAGACCTAGTTAAGCTGCAGCTGGCCCAGAACAGAGTGGCATGTCTTGCAATTCATTGTAATCAGAGGACTGATATAAATACTATGCATCCCACTCTATCTTGGCTAAGAGTTGAGGAGAGACTGACTGCATCACTTCTTTTTATAAGAAACAATGTGTTGAAAATGACAAATTGTTTGCATAGTCAACTTACACACAGCTCTAACACATACACTTACCCCACCAGACATGCCATCAGGGGTCTTTTCATAGTCCCCAAATCCAGAACAAATTCAAGAAAGCTTACAGTATTATATAGAGCCATTATTGCATGGAACTCCATTCCATCTCATGTTCCTCAAATGACAGCAAACCTGGTTTAAAAAAACAGATAAAGCAACACCTCACGGCACAACGCCTCTCCCCTATTTGACCTAGATAGTTTGTGTGTATGTATTGATATGTAGGCTGTGTGCCGTTTTTAAATGTATGTAGTTCTGTCCTTGACCTGTTCTTGTCTATTAATGTTCTGTATTATGTAATGTTTCATGTTCTGTGTGGACCCCAGGAAGAGTAGCTACGGCATTCGCAACAGCTAATGGGGATCCTAATAAAATACCAAAAAACAAGAATTTAGCAGAAATTGAATGACATTAACTATATTATTGAGTCAATGAGGGGTGTCTAATGGCTATCATGCACTTTCCTTAGAATAAATGTATACCACCAATAGAATGGGTTCACCTCAATACCACATACATTTGCATCAGCAAATGCTCCAAAACCGGTCATCCAGGTTCACAGTGGAAATGATCAAGTGTCTTTTAAATCTCTCTGTAACCAACCTTGGGAAGGTAAATGCTGATTATGGTGTGTACGTTATGTATCTGCCCCATTTCTAATGCCCACGGTGTTAAGTCAACATAGCATTTATTTACTCAGATTGGCCTAGACCTACACACTGATGTTATGGTCTGGATGATGTGAAATTACGCAATATCTAGTAATCTATCACTGTAAAAGTGAATGTAGAAACCCATGCCACTAAAGAATGTGAGGGAAACCGCGGCTTGTTCAGTCAGATCCCACATCTCAGGTATTCCTTTTTCAGTTTCAAACTGTCAGATAGGCAAGTACATGCACTCAGGCCAAGGTGGAGCAGGATTTTGCTCCAACCAAACAGTCACAGAGCTGATTCAGCTAATTCAGTTTCTTGAAGACTATTTAACAGATTTGTTGTATCAGGTGTGTTGCTGCTTTGACTGGAGCGAAAGCGTGCACCCATACCGGCCCTCTGCAGATAAGAGATTTGGGACTATTCCATTGGTTCCATTGCGCCAGGCAAGCACAATCAAACTCAGCTAAAGTATTTTTAAGATTTGATCGAATTAAATTCACTCGACACAGATTAGGCCATTAGTATTAAAGTCATTCGGTGGGTGCCGATTAGACCTTCACTAGTGTTGAAAGTCAGTAGGTGCAAATTATAGACCCTTAATGTAATTCTTAAGGCACGCCGTCCAGAGTTGCAGCAGGGCAATTGAGGCTATTTCTATTAGATTAGGTTAGGGGATAGTGTGGCAGGAGACGGGGTCAAGCATTCTCTTATTATTAAATGAGATAGTTCGGTGAAGTAAGGCAACCCCAGTCTACTGGAGTAGGTGATAATAGCTTAACACCATGGAGCTGAAGGGCAGAATGTATCATACACTATGACCACTGTTACAGTAATATACAGCCTACTTGCATCTTCAAGTTAGGACCACCAAAGCTATCCAACCACCAGGTTCGTGGTACAACACAAGAAGAAGTGTTGTTATCATCAATATCCTACTAGTCCTACTGTCATTCTCTTAGGGCCCGATTCAGAGTTGCGATATGCATGTGCAACTCAGACTTGTTGTCAATGGAAGACTTCAGTTAAGATGCCCTTAGCTTGATACATACCACAGGTGTGGGCATGTCGTGGTATGTATCAAGTATGGTGGTTGTGTTGTTTTTGTGTTGTGTTGTTTCTGTTAATTTGTCTTTCATTTTTGCTTTGTTGTTTGTACTTACATATACAATTAAAAAAAGAGAGATGTTCAAGATGCCCTTAGTCATTTAGACAGCAGGATTGAGGGTAATTCAGCAAGATAGGACATTTTCAGCAGTAGCAATGAATGAAACAGAAAGGGCCATTCCTTTCATTCTTCCTCCTCCCTCCTTCAGCCAGCAGTCTGAGAGACTGTTTAAAGCGACAGCAGTGGTGAGTGGGCAGGCCAATCCATTTCCTGTGTGAATGAATGACTGCGACTACGTATTTCTGTTAAAGAGAGTGTCCATCAGTGTCCTCTCACTCCTTCCCTCCCGCTCTACCACTACCCAGAGGATACATGGCACAGACTCAGGGAATTCCACACTTCTCTGTGAGGAGGGAGGGGAGAGGCAGGAGCACAGGAGTGGGCAGATGAGAGCTCTGGAGGAGGATATAGGTCATCTGTGGACTGTATACGAATGGAAAGTATAACTTATAGTTTGTCTTGCGCTCCCACTCTGCTACCAATAGTAGCACAGCACTTATATGACAGTCAACTGTTGCTCGAATTTCTATTGAGGCTATTCAAGTAGAAATATATAGAGAAATGTTTTGTTTAAAAAGTTTTGCAGCCTTACAATTGCAACACATCTTCTCACACAGAGGGCTTCTGGCAGTGAAGATACAGTCTACAGCCCCCCCCCTTCTTGGATTTCTTCACATTTTATTGTGTTACAAAGTGGGATTGAAATTGATTTAAAAAATACAATAATTGTCAACGATCTACACAAAATAGTCTGTCAAAGTGGATGAAAGACTAATGAAAAATAAAACACTCATTTTCATTTTTTAAAGATGAATGAAAAATAAAACACTAATATACGTTGATTAGATAAGTATTCACCCCCCTGAGTCAATACATGTAAGAAACATATTTCGCAGCGATTACAGCTGTGAGTCTTCTTGGGTAAGTCTCATAAGAGCTTTGCACACCTGTATTGTGCAATATTTGCCCATTATTATTTATAAGAAATGTATTCTGTATATTTGTTTTCTTCTTTTCACTCTGTCATTTAGGTTATTATTGTGGCGTCACTACAATGTTGTTGATCCACCCTCAGCTTTCTCCCATCACAGCCATTGAACTGTTTTAAAATCACCATGGTGACAGCCCTAAGCAGTTTCCTTCCTGTCCTGCAGCTCAGTTCAGAAGGATGACGGCATTTTTGATGTGTCTGGTTGGTTTAATGGATAGCATAATTTCATCCACAGCATAATTATTAACTTGACCATGCTTAAAGATATATTCAATGTCTGATTTGTTATTGTTACCCATCTACCAATCACTGCCCTTCTTTATGAGGCTTGGAAAAGCTCCCTGGTCTTTGTTGAATATGTGCTTGAAATTAAATACCTGACTGAGGGACCTTATAGATGTTTTCTTTTACATATTTAGCAGACGCTCTTATCCAGAGCGACTTACAGGAGCAATTAGGGTTAAGTGCCTTGCTCAAGGGCACATCGACAGATTTTTCACCTAGTCGACTCGAGGATTAGAACCAGCGACCTTTCGGTTACTGGCACAACGCTCTTAACCACTAAGCTACCTGCCACACAGATTTTTGTATGTATGTGGGACAGACGAAGGGGTAGTCATTAAACAATCATGTTAACCCATCTTATTTCACAAAGACTTATGTGATTTGTTAAGCCAAATGCTACTTCTGAACTAATTTAGGCTTGCCTAAACAAATGGGGGTGAATACTTATGCAATGACTATATTTTAGTTATTTAATGTGTATTTAAAAATATATATATATATTTCTTTTTTTTCTTCTTCACTTTTACATTATGGAGTATTTTGTGTACAGTGGGGAAAAAAAGTATTTAGTCAGCCACCAATTGTGCAAGTTCTCCCACTTAAAAAGATGAGAGAGGCCTGTAATTTTCATCATAGGTACACGTCAACTATGACAGACAAAATGAGAAAAAAAATCCAGAAAATCACATTGTAGGATTTTTTATGAATTTATTTGCAAATGATGGTGGAAAATAAGTATTTGGTCAATAACAAAAGTTTCTCAATACTTTGTTATATAGCCTTTGTTGGCAATGACACAGGTCAAACGTTTTCTGTAAGTCTTCACAAGGTTTTCACACACTGTTGCTGGTATTTTGGCCCATTCCTCCATGCAGATCTCCTCTAGAGCAGTGATGTTTTGGGGCTGTCGCTGGGCAACACGGACTTTCAACTCCCTCCAAAGATTTTCTATGGGGTTGAGATCTGGAGACTGGCTAGGCCACTCCAGGACCTTGAAATGCTTCTTACGAAGCCACTCCTTCGTTGCCCGGGCGGTGTGTTTGGGATCATTGTCATGCTGAAAGACCCAGCCACGTTTCATCTTCAATGCCCTTGCTGATGGAAGGAGGTTTTCACTCAAAATCTCACGATACATGGCCCCATTAATTATTTCCTTTACACGGATCAGTCGTCCTGGTCCCTTTGCAGAAAAACAGCCCCAAAGCATGATGTTTCCACCCCCATGCTTCACAGTAGGTATGGTGTTCTTTGGATGCAACTCAGCATTCTTTGTTCTCCAAACACGACGAGTTGAGTTTTTACCAAAAAGTTCTATTTTGGTTTCATCTGACCATATGACATTCTCCCAATCCTCTTCTGGATCATCCAAATGCACTCTAGCAAACTTCAGACGGGCCTGGACATGTACTGGCTTAAGCAGGGGGACACGTCTGGCACTGCAGGATTTGAGTCCCTGGCGGCGTAGTGTGTTACTGATGGTAGGCTTTGTTACTTTGGTCCCAGCTCTCTGCAGGTCATTCACTAGGTCCCCCCGTGTGGTTCTGGGATTTTTGCTCACCGTTCTTGTGATCATTTTGACCCCACGGGGTGAGATCTTGCGTGGAGCCCCAGATCGAGGGAGATTATCAGTGGTCTTGTATGTCTTCCATTTCCTAATAATTGCTCCCACAGTTGATTTCTTCAAACCAAGCTGCTTACCTATTGCAGATTCAGTCTTCCCAGCCTGGTGCAGGTCTACAATTTTGTTTCTGGTGTCCTTTGACAGCTCTTTGGTCTTGGCCATAGTGGAGTTTGGAGTGTGACTGTTTGAGGTTGTGGACAGGTGTCTTTTATACTGATAACAAGTTCAAACAGGTGCCATTAATACAGTTAACGAGTGGAGGACAGAGGAGCCTCTTAAAGAAGAAGTTACAGGTCTGTGAGAGCCAGAAATCTTGCTTGTTTGTAGGTGACCAAATACTTATTTTCCACCATAATTTGCAAATAAATTCATTAAAAATCCTACAATGTGATTTTCTGGATTTTCTTTTCTCAATTTGTCTGTCATAGTTGACGTGTACCTATGATGTAAATTACAGGCCTCTCTCATCTTTTTAAGTGGGAGAACTTGCACAATTGGTGGCTGATTAATACTTTTTTTCCCCACTGTAGATCAGACCAAAAATTACACTTTCCCACTTTATAACGCATCAAAATGTAAAACAAGTTCAAGAATGTGTAGACTTTCTATAGGCACTGTATGTGATGGGTCCCATAGCACTTGGACAGAAGGAAACTTGCTCACTCTCAAAACTATTCTAGTGTCTCATTTGTCCTTTGGGAGTCATCCAGCTGCACTGTGTAACATATCAGATATGGAAATTGAATGTAAACTTTAGTTCTATGTTTCCAGTTAAGACAAATTAATTGTAATGCCTCGTACAGCAAACATTGGACTTAATGCAAACACACAGTTGGCATCATCACTGTAGAGTAGTTGCAATGTCAGCTAAATTAACTCATACAGTGGGTGGGTGAACAGAACAAATAAAATGATAGAGATTGCAAAATCTCTCTCATATAGACCGACCCAGTACAACACACACAGGAACTTCTTCCTATGCAGTCTGGCATGGCCTTGCAGTGGAGGCTTTCCAAGTCAAACAATCAGCTGAAACCTGTTCTTCACAAACAAAGCAGGAGGAACATAGAGAGAGCTAAACCAGAAAGGATAACACACTTTAGATAACAAGAATCCATAGTCATATTAGCGGTCTAATTTATCTAATTGCTCTAAAAGTCTACCGTAAACTACAGTCATTGAAAAAATATCACATGCACACCTACTTGTGTATTTCCAGGTGCATGGAGAAAAATATGTTTTAAAAAGAAGAAACCAGCATATTGGTGTTCTTGAATACGTCACAAACAATTTGATTCAAATTGGAGCATCTAAGATCGCCAGTGTGTTACAAGCAGCAGCAGAGTGCAGGGGAGACTTTGAGGAAGGTAGGATGAGTTTAACACACTGGTGTGATTGAAAGAGTGGGAAGGTAGGATGAGTTTAACACACTGGTGTGATTGTAGAAGAAAAATAAATAAAAATAAAAAATAAATGTATGCACTCACTAACTGTACGTCGCTCTGGATAAGCGCGTCTGCTAAATGACTAAAATGTAAAATGTAATTGAAGGAGTGGAGCATCCAGATGTGGACGAGGGGGGTGAGATACTGGAACAGGAGGGGGGGGGGGGGGGTTCTGGAACAGGAGAGGGGGGGATACAGAACAAGAGGGGGGATACTCGAACAAGAGGGGGGGGAGATACTGGAACAGGCAGGGCGGGAGATACTGGAACAGGAAGGGGGGGGGGGGGGGGTGTACTTAATGGTTAGGGTGAGGGAGCCATACCTACACACTAATATTTTGATTTAGTCAAGAAGCGAGGATGGTCTATGATTTTACTTATAATGTTATAATGTTTGTTCTAAGCCTAGGGGCTTGTGACTTTTTAAAGTTAAAAGCGGTTTCTTGAAGAACTTGCCTGTCTACTGTAAACTACAGCATGACTCACTGAAAAGCTTTCTCACAAGCTGCATAAACAGCTAATATGAACCACAAGTATATCAGACTTATTACATTATTTGTTTGGCTACATCCCAGTGCTCATGCTATGAGCCCTGTTGTCTGGTCCCAAGATAAATTACACAGGAACTTTGGCTATTCCCTAACCTGCCACTTCCCTCTACTCCCTCACCTCCCACTGACTACAGCATCTGCCTTTAAAACTGTGTCTGTGTGTGTCTGTTTGTGCGTGTGTCTTCATTCAACTCATGATATCCTAGTACATGCTGTCTAACTCTACGTACAAGCCACAACCACTCCCCAAAACACACCCCTCTCAGGCTAGCTAGGGCTCTCCCTCATGAAGAGTAGCACTTGAAAATTGAGTAAATAGGTATCAGACAACTGATCTGAGAGATCCATGGATTGGTGAACATTTCCCCTTGGTTGTTTTGTAGCCTGCAGCCGTGTAAAGATTAATGATGTGTCAACCCTTTCATCTCCTCGGAACCTGTCCAACCTGTTGTGGAGACTTTTATATCATTAAGGACACCTGCTCTTTCCATGACATAGACTGACCAGGTGAATCCAGGTGAAAGCTATGATCCCTTATTGATGCCACTTGTTAAATCCACTTCAATCAGTGTAGATGAAGGGGAGGAGACAGGTTAAAGGATTTTAAAGCCTTGAGACAATTGAGACGTGGATTGTGTATGTGTGCCATTCAGAGGGTGAATGGGCAAGACAAAATATGTAAGTGCCTTTGAACGGGGCATGGTAGTAGGTACCAGGCGCATCGGTTTGTGTCAAGAACTGTAACGTTAATGTGTTTTTCACGCTCAACAGTTTCCCGTGTGTATCAAGAATGGTCCACCACCCAAAGGACATCCAGCCAACTTGACACAACTGTGGGAAGCATTGGAGTCAACAAGGGCCAGCTTCCCTGTGGAATGCTTTCGACACCTTGTAGAGTAGAGTAATGTTTTGTACACTCAGTGTATATCAGAGCTGACAGTCACCTGCACCTCAACACGATTAACTGTGCCCACAGTAGGTTGGGTTTCCATGTTAATGTTCAGTGGGAACCTGTTTTGGGAATGTACAGTTCCCACTGAATGATGTCTCTCGTCCAAAAGTGAAATTCTGTTGGAATCATTATGTAAATTACTCACTCATACAGCCAACATTGAAGCCAAAATTGGATGTAAACGATGAGCAACTAAACTTCCATAGTGAAACACATTTTCCCTTTACATGTCTCGTCCTGTGGTTTCAGTGTGTCACGGGATCAGCAACAAGCTGACGCTGCTGGGGACTGTAGACGACCACTACAACAACCTGGTGAGGATGTACAGCAACTGTACCGTGGTCCTGGAAAACCTAGAACTCACCTACATCCAGGACTACCACGACCTGTCCTTCCTCAAGGTGAGGAGATGGAGGGTTGAATTATAACACGTTGTTTGCAGTGGCTTCCTATCCACCATATGTCCTAGCTCCTCTTTATCAGCCATTTCAATACCTTTCTTACCATGGCTTCTAGCTCCTGGTTGAGTGCACTGGCTGTATATAACTCTGGATAAGAGTCAGCTAAATTACTACAATGTCATTGTAAATGTAATGGTCAGAATAAAGCTTTTCTCTCCTTTGTGCCTTTACTAACACCAACTGAACAATGATGGTATTGCAAACCTGGCATTACCTCCATGGGCAACACGTAGTCCGGAGATGGCTGCACTACCACTAGACCAAACTTTAACATTCTGTTAGCAATTCTATTCATTATTTCTATGGTGTTTTGCCCTCCAGTCCATTCAGGAGGTTGGAGGCTATGTTCTGATCGCCGTCAACAAGGCAGCCATCATCCCCCTGGAGAACCTGCGTCTGATCCGAGGACACTCCCTCTACGACAACAAGTACGCCCTGGCTGTCATGTCCAACTACGAGAAGAACCACTCCTCTGTGACCCTCAACTACACCCGGGGCCTTAGGGAGCTGATGCTAAGTGGACTGACAGGTTAGTGGGTGACTAGGGGTCCACTTCAGTGACTGTATCCAGGATTCTGTCCACATCTGAGTGATCAAATACATTATATCATGTTATTTAAAGTACTTTGAAGTATTTGAGGTGTGTGTGATTTAGCTTGGAGTTTGAACTTTGGGTCTATGCCATTGGTTCCATTGCACAGGCCAGACAAATATATCTTCAGTGCCTTCAGAAAGTATTCACAGCCTGTGACTTTTTCCACATTTTGTTGTGTGACAGCCTGAATTTAAAATTTATTAAATTGAGTGTTTTAGTCACTGGCAAAAAAATGAAAAGCTGAAATTTCTTGAGTCAATAAGTATTCAACCCCTTTGTTATGGCAAACCTAAATAAGTTCAGGAGTAAAAATGTGCTTAACAAGTCACATAATAAGTTGCATGGACTCACTCTGCGTGCAATAATAGTATTTAACATTATTTTTGAATGACTACCTCATCTATGTACCCCATACATACAGTGAGGGAAAAAAGTATTTGATCCCCTGCTGATTTTGTAAGTTTGCCCACTGACAAAAAAATGATCAGTCTATAATTTTAATGGTAGGTTTATTTGAACAGTGAGAGACAGAATAACAACAAACAAATCCAGAAAAACGCATGTCAAAAATGTTATAAATTGATTTGCATTTTAATGAGGGAAATAAGTATTTGACCCCTCTACAAAACATGACATATTACTTGGTGGCAAAACTCTTGTTGGCAATCACAGAGGTCAGACGTTTCTTGAAGTTGGCCACCAGGTTTGCACACATCTCAGGAGGGATTTTGTTCCACTCCTCTTTGCAGATCTTCTCCAAGTCATTAAGGTTTCGAGGCTGACGTTTGGCAACTCGAACCTTCAGCTCCCTCCACAGATTTTCTATGGGATTAAGGTCTGGAGACTGGCTAGGCCACTCCAGGACCTTAATGTGCTTCTTCTTGAACCACTCCTTTGTTGCCTTGGCCGTGTGTTTTGAGTCATTGTCATGCTGGAATACCCATCCACGACCCATTTTCAATGCCCTGGCTGAGGGAAGGAGGTTCTCACCCAAGATTTGACGGTACATGGCCCTGTCTATCGTCCCTTTGATGCGGTGAAGTTGTCCTGTTCCCATAGCAGAAAAACATCCCCAAAGCATAATGTTTCCACCTCCATGTTTGACGGTGGGGATGGTGTTCTTGGGGTCATAGGCAGCATTCCTCCTCCAAACACGGCGAGTTGAGTTGATGCCAAAGAGCTCGATTTTGGTCTCATCTGACCACAACACTTTCACCCAGTTCTCCTCTGAATCATTCAGATGTTCACTGGCAAACTTCAGACGGGCATGTATATGTGCTTTCTTGAGCAGGGGGACCTTGCGGGCGCTGCAGGATTTCAGTCCTTCACAGTGTAGTGTGTTACCAATTGTTTTCTTGGTGACTATGGTACCAGCTGCCTTGAGATCATTGACAAGATCCTCCCGTGTAGTTCTGGACTGATTCCTCACCGTTCTCATGATCATTGCAACTCCACGAGGTGAGATCTTGCATGGAGCCCCAGGCCGAGGGAGATTGACAGTGCTTTTGTGTTACTTCCATTTGCGAATAATCGCACCAACTGTTGTCACCTTCTCACCAAGCTCCTTGGCGATGGTCTTGTAGCCCATTCCAGCCTTGTGTAGGTCTACAATCTTGTCCCTGACATCCTTGGAGAGCTCTTTGGTCTTGGCCATCGTGGAGAGTTTGGAATCTGATTGATTGCTTCTGTGGACAGGGGTCTTTTATACAGGTAACAAGCTGAGATTAGGAGCACTCCCTTTAAGAGTGTGCTCCTAATCTCAGCTCGTTACCTGTATAAAAGACACCTGGGAGCCACCTGGGATCTTTCTGATTGAGAGGGGGTCAAATACTTATTTCCCTCATTAAAATGCTAATCAATTCATAAAAATTTTGACATGTGTTTTTCTGGATTTTTTTGTTGTTATTCTCTCTCTCACTGTTCAAATAAACCTACCATTAAAATTATAGACTGATCATTTCTTTGTCAGTGGGCAAATGTACAAAATCAGCAGGGGATCAAATACTTTTTTCCCTCACTGTACAATTATCGGTGACACTTTACTTGACATTTTACTTGACACCCAGCGTAACACATTACCCCACACATACAATTATCTGTAAGGCCCCTCAGTCGAGCAGTGAATTTCAACCACAGATTCAACCACAAAGACCAGGGATGTTGTTCAATGCCTCGCAAAGAAGGGCACCTATTGGTAGATGGGTAAATAAATAAAAAGCAGACATTGAATATCCCTTTGAGCATGGTGAAGTTATTAATGACACTTTGGATGGTGTATCAATACACCCAGTAACTACAAAGATACAGGTGTCCTTCCTAACTAAGTTGACGGAGAGGAAGGAAACTGCTCAGTGATTTCACCATGAGGCCAATGGTGACTTTAAAACAGTAACAGAGTTTAATGTGATAGGAGAAAACTGATGATGGATCAACAACATTGTAGTTACTTCACAATACTAACCAATTGACAGAGTGAAAAGAAGGAAGCCTGTACAGAATAAAAATATTCCAAAACATGCATCCTGTTAGCAACAAGGCACTAAAGTAATACTGCAAAAAAAAATAAACAGTGTTATGTTTGGGGCAAATCCAATACAACACATTACTGAGTACCACTCTCCATATTTTCAAGAATAGTGGTGGCTGAGTTTTTCAGGATAAAAAATAAACCAAATGGAGCTAAGCACAGGCAAAATCCTAGAGGAAAACTTTCCACCAGACACTGGGAGACGAATTCACCTTTCAGCAGGACAATAACCAAAAGCACAAGGCCAAATCTACACTGGAGTTGCTTACCAAGAAGAAGTGAATGTTCCTGAGTGGCCGAGTTACAGTTTTGACTTAAATCTACTTCAAAATCTATGGCAAGACCTGAAAATGGTTGTCTAGCAATGATCAACAACCAATTTGACAGAGCTTGAATACTTTTTTAAAGAATCATGGACAAATGTTGCACAATCCAGGTGAGGAATTCTCATAGTCTTACCCAGAAAGACTTCTACTAAGTATTGACTAAGGGGTGTGAATACTTACACTACCGGTCAAAAGTTTTAGAACACCTACTCATTCAAGGGTTTTTCTTTATTTTTACTATTTTCTACATTGCAGAATAATAGTGAAGACATAAAAACTATGAAATAACACATATGTAATCATGTAGTAACCAAAAAAGTGTTAAACAAATCAAAATATGTTAAATTTGAGATTCTTCAAATAGCCACCTTTTGCCTTGATGACAGCTTTGCACACTCTTGGCAGTCTCTCAACCAGCTTCATGGGGTAATCACCTGGAATGCATTTAAATTAACAGGTGTGCCTTCTTAAAAGTTAATTTGTGGAATTTCTGTAGAAAATAGTAAAAATAAAGAAAAACCCTTGAATGAGTAGGTGTTCTAAAACTTTTGACCGGTAGTGTATGTAAATTAGATATTTCTGTATTTCATTTTCAATAAATGGAAGAAAGAAATTCTAAAAACATGTTTTCACTTTGTCATTATGGGGTATTGTGTGTAGATCGTTGAGACAAAAAAAATCCATTTTAAATTCAGGCTGTAATACAACCAAATGTGGAATAAATCAAGGGGTATGAATACTTTCTGAAGGCACTTCATCTGTCCTTCTATTTTGCACAGAGATTCTCAAGGGAGGTGTGAAAATTGCCCACAATCCTTTGCTGTGTAATGTGGAGACCATCCAATGGTGGGACATAGTAAACATGGCCAGCAACCCCAGTATGGAGTTCAAACTGGAGAGCTATGGCCGTTACTGTAAGTATGCCAGCTTCATTTAAAAACAAAAACACTAGTAATGAATCCTTTTCTCTATGGTGTTCAGCGGAATAATTCTGGGGTTGTTTTTAATTTGAAGCTACTGTAATATACATGTACAGTATGTTGCACAACTTTTATGATTATTCCATATGATACAGCTTTCGGGTTTGCATGGAGAGGTTTTGTCATGTATTACACTTGCGCAATAAGGCCCGATGGGGTGTGGTATATTGGCCAATATACTACAGCTAAGGACTGGATAAAGCCCTTACCCGTGGTATATTGGTCATATACCACAAACACCCGAGGTGCCTTATTGCTATTATAAACTGGTTACCAACATAAATAGAACAGTAATCAAGTGTTTTTGCATCATACCCATGGTATATTGTCTGATATACACACGGCTGAAATGCTATTTCATCAAATCGGCATCCAAACTACCTGGTTTATAATAGTATTCTATGAATGAGATCATTCAGAAGTTAAGCAGTGTTTTTCTCACCTGACAGGTGACAAGTGTGACCCTGGATGCTACAATGGATCATGCTGGACACCAGGACCAGAAAACTGTCAAACCTGTAAGGATCCACTCTTCTCTACCCGATAATTAGCATGAGAGTAGTCACACAAAAACCTCACATGTTATTTGTCAATATGTTGAAAGTATTTTGTGGGTAGCTCATTTTCTTCCACAGACCCTCTCAGTTCTGTTGACTGGTCCTCTCTCTATCTCTCCTCAGTTACCAAGCTGACGTGTGCAGAGCAGTGCTCTGGAAGGTGCAGGGGTCCTAAACCCAGTGACTGCTGTAACGGACACTGTGCTGCAGGCTGCACAGGCCCTAGGCCCACTGAGTGTCTGGTGAGGGACTCTTCTGACTTCAATTAATTCATCATTTGCAAAAGTTATAATCACGTAGGAAACACATCTAAAAGACAACAAGGCAGACGACCCACTCCTGGGCTTCTCCACATTAGAAAACAGATATGTTAATATTGTACACTTATTGTGATCGTAGTCTTTCGTTCTTGTGTTCAAAGGCCTGTAGAGACTTCCAGGATGATGGCACATGTAAGGATGCCTGCCCCCCTACCATGATCTACAATCCCAACACCCACCAGCTGGCTTTCAACCCTAATGCCAAGTATACCTTCGGGGCCACTTGTGTGAAGACCTGCCCACGTAAGGCCAATAGTGTCCATCTACATGATCCATTATCAAAGGGTTAATAAAGATGCACTCAGGGGTCTGCTCAGAAAGGTGCAAGGTACTGAGCGCCCAGATAGAAATGTAAAGAACAGATGCTTGTCTGTCAGGTAGAATTGGAAATTGTGCTCGATTTGTTACTTTCCTTTCTGCAATTTTCAGAACATTTCACCTCACTTAATACACCTCATTTATCTAGAAAACGCCCCCTCCATTGTGGTGAAGGTGTCTTTGGGTGACCCCTGACCTGTCCTGTGATTGGTTGTCTCTTGCAGATAACTATGTCGTGACGGACCACGGGGCGTGTGTCCGAACATGCAGTGGCAACACACACGAGGTGGAGGAGAATGGTGTCAGGAGGTGCAAGAAGTGTGACGGAATCTGTCCAAAAGGTAAAGTGGCTACCTCATGAAGCTGGTTGAGAGAATGCCAAGAGTGTGCAAAGCTGTCATCAAGGCATAGGGTGGCTATTTTGAAGAATCTCAAATATAACATATATTTTAATTTGTTTAACATGTTTTTGGTTACTACATGATTCCATATGTGTTATTTCAACAATGAGTGGTTTGGAAGGAATCAGTGGCTAACTGCAAGCGTTGCAAAGCAATCACTAGCCTGCTATTCAGTGGAGAGGGTGTGTGGTCCAAGTCTGGGTTTAAGGGTCTCTTTTCCAAGCTTAAAAGGATAAACATTAAACATTGGCCATGCTGTCAATCCAGCATGATTTCTGCCGCGCTCAAAACAACTGGAAACTCGGAACTGGGAAATATCAGACTTCAGTGAGTTCAAGACAACTGAGAACTCAGGAAAAAAACGAGCTCCGACTGGGAAAATACGTTTTGAACGGTCATCCAACTCGGGATTGCAAGTCGGGAACTCGGGCCGCTTTCTAGAGCTCCGACCTGAAGATCACTGATGTCATCATGATTCAACCTTGTTTTTTTCCCGAGTTCCCAGTTGTCACCATAAATCCAGCGAATGCCAGACTTTGATGACAAAGTTTGATGACAAAATTTGCCCACAAAGGACTTCCGCGCCACCTTCCTGTTCAAGTGAGCACAACAAGGTCCAAAGATGTTGTTTATGCTACTGCATAAATGATGTAATATGCCAGGGAGATATGTATACCGTAGCTAAGAAAGTAGTACAATGTGTATGTTGTGTAGTAAGCTGTTAGTAGCCCATGTGCCTCACCCTAATAATTTGGTCAATTTTAGAAAAATGTAATCATTGAATATTGTAAGAGCTTTCATTGTCTGCTTATATGCCCCCTTTATTCATCTGACTTGATGTACAGGGAGAATACTGTAAGAACAGCCCATGTTCTGAATTGTGTCGCTGTACATTTCAAAAGTGCTGAACAAATAGTTACATTGACCAGGTCCGTCCCAGCTCGTTCATTAATGTCTTAATTGAAACGGATTGCATCTTATCGTCCCCTTATGCCATAGTTTGTACATCTCAATTGTCAGTAGAAACGACATTTGTTTAAGCAAGCCATATCAGCTATATATTTTTTAAAGGCAGTAAATTAGGCTGAATGAACTGTTTCGCTGCCAGACAAGGCTCCGCTGATAGCCAGGTGTAGCAGTGGTAAGGTGTTGGGACTGCTGTTGGGACTCTGCTGCTGGGACAGCTTTATGTAGGCCCTAACAGTTTGTGGGAACAGTTTGTCACCGTTATAGTGCAATTAATGTATTGTTTAGTATTGTGTCGTGTACTGGCTTTGCTGGCATGCATAAAAATCAATTGGGGGGAGTTTGCCCCACCATGATTTACATGCTAAAATCGCCACTGTAAAGGGGTCTGAATATTGTAAATGGAACTCTTTGTCCGTGGTAAGCTGGACAACATACATGTACTTTCTTTTCAACTTTGCTAACTGTTTCTAAACCTCATAATGCTGCATTAGAACGTCAATGATTTGAATGTTTTGTGGGTCTTCTCGTCTAGTGTGCAATGGACTTGGAATGGGGCCGCTTACTGCCGTCTTGTCAATCAACGCCTCTAACATTGATTCTTTCAAAAACTGCACCAAAATCAATGGCGATGTTTCAATAATTGGGACCTCTTTGAATGGGTAAGAAATAACAATAGCATTGTACAGTGTCCATGGGCTCTCCTAATATGGACACTGTAGCAGTGAAGCAAAATGTAAATTGCCCTGTGTTCATTCAAATTAATTTAAACAAACTGTATATGAGTGTTTGAACTACTTTGTCTAAGATATGTGTCTTTGTAATTGCTTCTCTCAGTGATAGGTACACATCAACAGAAAAAATGGACCCTGCCAAACTGGAATATTTCAGAACTGTGAAGGAAATTTCAGGTAGAACAAAGTTGAACTTATCTTCAATTGCTATATAATTCATCTGAGGGTAACCAAAGCAAAGATAATGCTTGATTAAATGTATTTTTGTTACTTCCCTAAAGGGTTTCTGCTGATACAAGCTTGGCCAAAGCACCTCGATTCTCTCAGTGCATTTGAAAACCTTGAGATTATCAGAGGAAGGACCAAACAGTTGTAAGTGTATCTCTGTCTAACACTATGCTTTTGTAATGACTATGAAACATGGTTTTTGGTGTATATTTTTCTCAGTGGAGTACTGTTCATGATAGAAAGCAAATACTCAATAACCTAGGAGGTCAACCCTGGGCTGGCTTGAGAAACTCTGTTGTACAATATTTTAGCAATGTCACAGAAACGTTGTTCAATGTTATGTATGGGCTAGCTACAGTAGCAGTATGCTAACCTAGTAGTTTACATTACCTTCCCTCTTCCCATAGTGGTCAGGTGAGTTTTGCTGCCCTCAACGTGGCTCATCTGAAGTATCTAGGCCTCCGCTCCCTACGAGAGATCAGCGATGGCAACATTGTGGTGAAGAATAACCCCCAGCTCTGCTACACCAACGAAGGCCACTGGAATAGCCTGTTCAGACTGGAAACACAGTCCTCAAGGGTGGGCAACAATGCCAACATCAGTACCTGTGGTAAGCAAGGACAAGGATCAAGTATGAACTCTGTTTAACGCCTTTGCAAACACTGCTTTAAAAAAAAAAGGTTAACAATGACCAAATGCTAACATTCATCCCATTTAGTGCCTGTGCTAGCTATATTCACATAGGCCACAGGTAATTATAGTTAGCTTAGCTACCTAACACTGCCATTATTGGATATAAGCAATGTGGTAGTGGCTCCACCTCCACCCTCTGATAGGTTAGATAGATTTTGAGCACTACTGCTTACACCTATCATATCCTTTCAGATTTAACCTAGCCTAGGGGGTTGGGTCTAGGACAGGACTGTTTAATTCCGGTCCTGGACGGCCGAAAGCCAAACACTTCAGTTTTTTGTTTCTACCTGGTAGTTAATTGCACTCTTTCTACCTGGTAGTTAATTGCACCTGTTCTACCTGGTAGTTAATTGCACTCGTTCTACCTGGTAGTTAATTGCACTCGTTCTACCTGGTAGTTAATTGCACCTGTTCTACCTGGTAGTTAATTGCACTCGTTCTACCTGGTAGTTAATTGCACTCTTTCTACCTGGTAGTTAATTGCACCTGTTCTACCTGGTAGTTAATTGCACCTGTTCTACCTGGTAGTTAATTGCACTCGTTCTACCTGGTAGTTAATTGCACTTGTTCTACCTGGTAGTTAATTGCACTCGTTCTACCTGGTAGTTAATTGCACTCTTTCTACCTGGTAGTTAATTGCACCTGTTCTACCTGGTAGTTAATTGCACTCGTTCTACCTGGTAGTTAATTGCACTTTTTCTACCTGGTAGTTAATTGCACTTTTTCTACCTGGTAGTTAATTGCACCTGTTCTACCTGGTAGTTAATTGCACCTGTTCTACCTGGTAGTTAATTGCACTCGTTCTACCTGGTAGTTAATTGCACTCTTTCTACCTGGTAGTTAATTGCACTCTTTCTACCTGGTAGTTAATTGCACTCACCCGCTGTCCCAGGTCTGGAGAGGATGAAAACCAGAAGTGTTTCGTCCCTCCAGGATCGACATTGAACAGTGCTGGTCTGCGAGTTATTTCTGGATGCAGTCTATAATCTTCGTCTCTCTTCCCTACAGCCCAGCTGAACAGTACCTGTGATGACATGTGCACTAAGGAGGGCTGCTGGGGGCCCGGTCCCACCATGTGTTTAACCTGCCTGTACTACACCCGTAGGGGGCGCTGTGTGGAGGCCTGTCACCTACTGGAGGGGTGAGTTAACCCAACGACACCTAGGGCACAAACTATTGATACTTCTCATATGTCCACTATATTTATTCTAGATGGAGGCTTGTGCTGTGTCAATGTTTTAACCGTTTTTCCTCGCCTTTCTCTTGCCTTTTCAGGGCACCAAGAGAGTTTGTGTTGAACAACACGTGCCTAGAGTGTGACCAAGAATGTATGGTGAAGAACGGAACCGGAAGCTGCTTTGGACCTGTATGCTCCTTTAACTTTACATCCATCTGAATTGTCTCATTTAATTTAATTATTTTGACATTCAGGTGTGATAGCTATTGAGTTGCGTAACAAATTCAGAAAATTAGATGAGAATTCTGTGTGATTTGGCAAATATTGCAAAGTCAGCTGTATTTTCACTCAAGACAACAATTAGATCAACAATTCTAACCTCTGACCCTCCCCTCTGAAGGGCCCTGACAAGTGTGTGGCGTGCGCCCACGTCAAAGATGGCCCCCACTGTGTCTATCAGTGCCCACGTGGCGTTCTCGGGGACGGGGATAGGCCCATCTGGAAATACGCTAACAAGAAGAGAGAATGTCAGCTCTGCCATGAGAACTGCACCGACGGGTAAGTTATAGTCTACCCAGCGATCTCTAACTCCTTGTTGTAAAGGCAATGTCAGCCTTTATTGAATGATTGTCTATTGATAAGCTATGATGAATGTTTACCATGGTCAGGACTGTGTGAAGTAGTCACTCTGAGCATAGTATTCCCTCCTTTCTGTCTGTAGATGCTCTGGACCTGGACTGAGTGGCTGCAACGCCAGAGGGTGAGCGAGATCTTTCAAATAAAGCAACATGAGACCAGTCTGATCCCAGATCTGTTTGTGCTGTTTGGCGTGACAATGATTATAGTAATAATAAGACACACAAACACATCTGGGATCAGGCTAAGACGAAACCATATCATAGTGAAAGTAGCATAGATCAAGTGCTAAGCGAAAAGTGATATAGGCTGATATAACCTTATATAAATCCAGTATAGGCAATGGATGAAAGATCAATCAATCAACCAATCAAATGTATTTTATGAAGCCCTTTATACATCAGCAGTTGTCACAAAGTGTTTGATATCAGATGTTTTTAGTGGTTTTAAGAAGCTACCAGGAAACTCACCCGTGTTGTTGCTGCTTTCCCAGTGGTCCCGTCCCGTCGGTGGTGGCGGCCAGTGTGGTGGGAGGACTCCTGGTGTTTGTGGTCCTGGCACTGGGTGTGTTCGTGCTGCTCCGCAGACGTCACATTGTCAGGAAGAGGACGCTGCGTCGCCTGCTGCAGGAAAGAGAGGTAACAAACAGAGACCACACTGCCACAGGGAAGACACGAACATGCATCAGACATGCACACATAGACTCAGTCACAGACATGACACGCTCATGTAGAACATTCAACAAGAGGCCAACATGCACATTAACGCCTTCACACTTGCTTTGTTGTTGATCCCATAGTTGGTTGAACCCCTGACCCCAAGTGGAGAAGCACCCAACCAAGCCCTGCTCCGCATTCTGAAGGAGACCGAGTTTAAAAAGATCAAAGTGTTGGGATCAGGGGCCTTTGGAACTGTCTTTAAGGTAAGCAGAGTGATCAACGCTTTTTTAATGGAGATGGTTCAGACAGTGAATGAGACCTGAAGACTTGTGTTCGCTCCCAACAGGGTGAGCTCAATTCAGAATTGAATTGAGAATGCCTCATAATTTCCAATTCAGTTCTTGAATTTTAATTGAAGTAGTAAACAGGATACAGAATTGCAATTCGAATTTGTATCAAAGGAAATAGAATTGAATTCAGTGAATTTAAATGAAATTCATATGCCTCTTCTATTCTATATTAGGTGTAGTCTATACAAATATACATAAAATTGTACATGAAACATCAAATGTCATTATATACATACAGTGCATTCGGAAAGTATTCAGACCCCTTCACATTTTCCACATTCTGTTACGTTACAGCCTTATTCTAAAATGGATTAAATAAAAAAAAATCCTCATCAATCTACACAAAATACCCCATAATGACAAAGTGAAAACATGTTTTTAGAAATTTTAGCAAATGTATTAAAAAGAAAAAAACAGAAATACCTTATTTACATAAGTATTCAGACCCTTCGCTATGATACTCGAAATTGAGCTCAGGTGCATCCTGTTTCCATTAATCATCCTTGAGATGTTTCTACAACTTGATTGGAGTCCACCTGTGGTAAATCCAATTGATTGGACATGATTTGGAAAGGCACACACCTGTCTATATACAGTGGCTTGCGAAAGTATTCACCCCCCTTGGCATTTTTCCTATTTTGTTGCCTTACAACCTGGAATTAAAATGGATTTTTGGGGGGTTTGTATCATTTGATTTACACAACATGCCTACCATTTTGAAGACGCAAAATATGTTTTATTGTGAAACAAACAAGAAATAAGACCAAAAAAAACAGAAAACTTGAGCGTGCGTAACTATTCACCCCACCCAAAGTTAATACTTTGCAGCAATTACAGCTGCAAGTCTCTTGGGGTATGTCTCTATAAGCTTGGCACATCTAGCCACTGAGATTTTTGCCCATTCTTCAAGGCAAAACTGCTCCAGCTCCTTCAAGTTGGATGGGTTCCGCTGGTGTACAGCAATCTTTAAGTCATACCACAGATTCTCAATTGGATTGAGGTCTGGGCTTTGACTAGGCCATTCCAAAACATTTAAATGTTTCCCCTTAAACCACTCAAGTGTTGCTTTAGCAGTATGCTTAGGGTCATTGTCCTGCTGGAAGGTGAACCAGTCTCAAATCTCTGGAAGTCTGAAACAGGTTTCCCTGTATTTAGCGGCATCCATCATTCCTTAAATTCTGACCAATTTCCCAGTCCCTGCCGATGAAAAACATCCCCACAGCATGATGCTGCCACCACCATGCTTCACTGTGGGGATGGTGTTCTCAGGGTGATGAGAGGTGTTGGGTTTGCGCCAGACATAGCATTTTCCTTGATGGCCAAAAAGCTCAATTATAGTCTCATCTGACCAGAGTACCTTCTTCCATATGTTTGGGGAGTCTCCCACATGCCTTTTGGCGAACACCAAACGTGTTTGCTTATTTTTTTGTTTAAGCAATGGCTTTTTTTCTGACCACTCTTCCGTAAAGCCCAGCTCTGTGGAATGTACGGCTTAAAGTGGTCCCATGGACAGATACTCCAATCTCCGCTGTGGAGCTTTGCAGCTCCTTCAGGGTTATCTTTGGTCTCTTTGTTGCCTCTCTGATTAATGCCCTCCTTGCCTGGGCCGTGAGTTTTGGTAGGCGGCCCTCTTGGCAGGTTTGTTGTGGTGCCATATTCTTTCTTTATAATAATGGATTTAATGATGCTCCGTGGGATGTTCAAAGTTTCTGATATTTTTTTATAACCCAACCCTGATCTGTACTTCTCCACAACTTTGTCCCTGACCTGTTTGGAGAGCTCCTTGGTCTTCATGGAGCCGCTTGCTTGGTGGTGCCTCTTGCTTAGTGGTGTTGCAGACTGGGGCCTTTCAAAACAGGTGTATATATACTGAGATCATGTGACACCTAGACTGCACACAGGTGGACTTTATTTAAGTAATTATGTGACTTCTGAAGGTAATTGGTTGCACCAGATCTTATTTAGGGACTTCATAGAAAAGGGGGTGAATACATACAGTGAGGGAATTAAGTATTTGATCCCCTGCTGATTTTGTAAATTTGCCCACTGACAAAGACATGATCAGTCTATAATTGTAATGGTAGGTTTATTTGAACAGTGATAGACAGAATAACAACAACAAAAAATCCAGAAAAACACATGTCAAACATGTTATAAATTGATTTGCATTTTAATGAGGGAAATAAGTATTGGACTCCTCTGCAAAACATGACTTAGTACTTGGTGGCAAAACCCTTGTTGGCAATCACAGAGGTCAGACGTTTCTTGTAGTTGGCCACCAGGTTTGCACACATCTCAGGAGGAATTTTGTCCCACTCCTCTTTGCAGATCTTCTCCAAGTCATTAAGGTTTCGAGGCTGACGTTTGGCAACTCGAACCTTCAGCTCCCTCCACAGATTTTCTATGGGATTAAGGTCTGGAGACTGGCTAGGCCACTCCAGGACCTTAATGTGCTTCTTCTTGAGCCACTCCTTTGTTGCCTTGGCCGTGTGTTTTGGGTCATTGTCATGCTGGAATACCCATCCACGACCCATTTTCAATGCCCTGGCTCAGGGAAGGAGGTTCTCACCCAAGATTTGACGGTACATGTCCCCGTCCATCGTCCCTTTGATGCGGTGAAGTTGTCCTGTCCCCTTAGCAGAAAAACACCCCCAAAGCATAATGTTTCCACCTCCATGTTTGACGGTGGGGATGGTGTTCTTGGGGTCATAGGCATCATTCCTCCTCCTCCAAACACGGTGAGATGAGTTGATGCCAAAGAGCTCGATTTTGGTCTCATCTGACCACAACACTTTCACCCAGTTCTCCTCTGAATCATTCAGATGTTCACTGGCAAACTTCAGATGGCCCTGTAGATGTGCTTTCTTGAGCAAGGGGACATTGCGGGCGCTGCAGGATTTCAGTCCTTCACGGTGTAGTGTGTTACCAATTGTTTTCTTGGTGACTATGGTCCCAGCTGCCTTGAGATCATTGACAAGATCCTCCCGTGTAGTTCTGGACTGATTCCTCACCATTCTCATGATCATTGCAACTCCACGAGGTGAGATCTTGCATGGAGCCCCAGGCCGAGGGAGATTTACAGTTATTTTGTGTTACTTCCATTTGCGAATAATCGTACCAACTGTTGTCACCTTCTCACCAAGCTGCTTGGCGATGGTCTTGTAGCCCATTCCAGCCTTGTGTAGGTCTACAATCTTGTCCCTGACATCCTTGGAGAGCTCTTTGGTGTTGGCAATGGTGGAGAGTTTGGTATCTGATTCATTGATTGCTTCTGTGGACAGGTGTCTTTTATACAGGTAACAAACTGAGATTAGGAGCACTCCCTTTAAGAGTGTGCTCCTAATCTCAGCTCGTTACCTGTATAAAAGACACCTGGGAGCCAGAAATCTTTCTGATTGAGAGGGGGTAAAATACTTATTTCCCTCATTAAAATGCAAATCAATTTATAACATGTTTGACATGTGTTTTTCTGGATTTTTTGTTGTTGTTATTCTGTCTCTCACTGTTCAAATAAACCTACCATTAAAATTATAGACTGATCATTTCTTTGTTAGTGGGCAAACGTACAAAATCAGCAGGGGATCAAATACTTTTTTCCCACACTGTATGCACGCACCACTTTTCGGTCATTTATTTTTTAGAATTTTTTGAAACAGGTTATTTGTTTCATTTCACTTCACCAATTTGGACTGTTTTGTGTATGTCCATAACATGAAATCCAAATGAAAATCAATGTAAATTGTTGTAATGCAACAAAATAGGAAAAAAGCCAAGGGGGATGAATACTTTTGACAGTGCATGTCAGAGCAAAAACAAAGCCATGACATTGAAGGAATTGGCTGTAGAGCTCTGAGACAGGGTTGTGTCGAGGCACAGATCTGGGGAAGGGTACCAAAACATTTCTGCAGCATTGAAGGTCCCCAAGAACACAGTGCCCTCCATCATTCTTAAATGGAAGAAGTTTGGAACCATCAAGACTCTTCCTAGAGCTGGCCGCCCAGCCAAACTGAGCAATCGGGGGAGAAGGGCCTTTCTCAGGGAGGTGACCAAGAACCCAATGGTCACTCTGACAGTGCTCCAGAGTTACTCTGTGGAGATGGGAGAACCTTCCAGAAGGACAACTATCTATGCAGCACTCCACCAATCAGGCCTTTATGGTAGAGTGGCCAGACGGAAGCCACTCCTCAGTAAAAGGCATATGACAGCCCGCTTGGTGTTTGCCAAAAGTAATCAAAAGACTCTCAGACCATGCAAAACAAGATTATCTGGTCTGATGAAACCAACACTTAACTCTTTGGAATGCCAAGCGTCACGTCTGGAGGAAACCTGGCACCATCCCTACGGTGAAGCATGGTGGTGGCAGCATCATGCTGTGGGGATGTTTTTCAGCGGCTAGTCAGGACTAGTCAGGATCGAGGGAAAGATTAACGGAGCAAAGTACAGAGAAATCCTTGATGAAAACCTGCTCCAGAGCACTCAGGATCTCAGACTGGGGAGAAGTTTCACCTTCCAACAGGACAATGACCCCAAGCACACAGCCAAGACAACACAGGAGTGGCTTCGGGACAAGTCCCTGAATGTCCTTGAGTGGCCCAGCCAGAGCCCGGACTTGAACCCGATCTAACATCTCTGGAGCGACCTGAAAATAGCTGTGCAGCGACGCTGCCCATCCAACCTGACAGAGCTTGCGAGGATCTGCAGAGAAAAATGGGAGAAACTCCCCAAATACAGGTGTGCCAAGCTTGTAGCGTCATACCCAAGAAGACTTGAGGCTGTAATCGCTGCCAAAGGTGCTTCAACAAAGTACTGAGTAAAGGGTCTGAATACTTATGTAAATGTGATATTAGCGTTTTTTATTTTTAATACATTTGCAATAATTTCTTAAAACCTGTTTTTGCTTTGTCATTATGGGGTATTGTGTGTAGATTGATGAGGGAAAAAACAATTTAATACATTTTAGAATAAGGCTGGAACGTAACAAAATGTGGAAAAAGTCAAGGGGTTTGAATACTTTTCAAATTCACTGTACATATAAAATATTGTTGAAACAATTGATTTACAGGAAAAAGTATTCAATGAATGATCAAGGAAAACAGAACCTGGATGCGAATATTCTACGTTATTATATTTCATTAATCAATTTGGTTCAAAAAAATATAACATTTCAAAGAATGCATTAGTTTAATCCTCAAATTGATCCTGAGGCCTTCAAAAAGAAGCCAAACAAATGAAATGGTTCATGGAAATATAATTGGCTATTCTATACACTAAGGTTAAAAGATTATATGAACATTGTTTCCAGAGAAAAGTGATATATTCTTTGGTATCTGTAAGTGTGACCTGTCAGATTCAATGACTGAGTAGAATTTCTTTAAATTGCACTGAATTAAATTCTACTTCCTGTCACTCAAAATCTGTTGAATGGGAGTCGATTCCAGAATTCTGAAATGAGCCCAACCCTGCTCCCTAAGCTTTACCTCAGCTTTTGCTCAGCGGATGAACAAAGTCTTGTGGCAGGACACCAGGGTCCAAATCCAGTCGGTCACGCTTTATACAAATCACTAGTAATCAAACGGATCCTACAAGGTGCTCCTCGTCCAGGGATAGAATAGTATGTGTTCATTAGTTTGTTAAAGGTGACAAAAGTTAGAGCCTGGACGATACCAGTATCACGATACTCGTTAGTATCGTGGCAAGGAAACAAAACACGAAGCAGACTTAACTTCTTTAGGAAAACAGCCTTAATGTTGGAAACAAACATCATTATGTTGTCTGCCAGAGTCACATTTATTTTCCAAGCTATAGCACACAATATTTTACATACAGCAGGTTTTTAAAGGACCAAAGAGTTTGGTCTGCTTCGTGATTACATTTTTGCCATGGGAAGAATATTGCGATACTGGTATCGTCCCAGACCTAATAAACATGTGTTTTTTCTCCCCAGGGCGTGTGGATTCCTGAGGGAGAAAACGTGAAGATCCCTGTTGCCATTAAGGTGTTGAGAGAGGCCACGTCTCCCAAAGCCAACAAGGAGATTCTAGACGTAGGTCTACTGTTTGTATAGTAGATATTCCGCCCAGGCGGTCAAGGTTGCCTTTTTCATATCATATCATATTAATGTGGTTCCTTCCTGAGATGTTAAACACTTCTTTAGGTGCGAGATCTGAAAAGATGACCTGGAACGCCCCATGTTTTCTGTCTGCAGGAGGCCTATGTGATGGCCAGTGTGGAGCACCCCCATGTATGTCGTCTGCTGGGCATCTGCCTGACGTCCACGGTGCAGCTCATCACCCAGATCATGCCCTATGGTTGCCTGCTGGACTATGTCAAGGAGAACAAGGACCTCATCGGCTCCCAGTGCTTGCTCAACTGGTGTGTACAGATCGCAAAGGTGAGCAAACAGGAAATGACTGCTGTGTTAACTTACATTTGTGTCTTATTTCTGTATGCAAGTATACTGAACCCATTACTTCTGGGGAAACAGAACCTCCTAACAAACCATTAGCAAGCCTCTGTCAAAGAAGTAGCTACATTGTCAGTCAATCTGGATCTGACTAACGCGACTAGTCTCAAATAGAACCATGCCAGCCGCTATCACAGCTGGATAACCAGATGTGTCTGCAATATGTAGATGGACAGGCGCTAGCGCAGGATAACCAGATGTGTCTGCAATATGTAGACGGACAGGAGCTAGCGCAGGAAGCGGGTTGGATTATTACAAATGGGAGCAAACTTAGCTTTCTTTGACACTCGCTCTGCCTTCCCACTATTTCAGGTGTAGTTAGGAAATGGTGTTTAATCTGAAAGATTTCCTTATAACCTTATTTGTTACCCCTTTACCCCCCCCCCCCCCCCCATCCATCCATCAACCTCCCAGGTCTGAGCAGAGCTCTCTTCCCAGCCTTGGTTGTGACCTTGCCTCTGGTTATTCTTAGTCTATTTGTACAGTAAGCCTGCTGAGGGCTAATTATTGAATACACAGAGGTCTCTATCTGTTCACGGCTTGTCTTGTTGTCTTAAAGAGCAACACTGTCTTATTGATTCTATGGAGATATGGCTCAAAGCAGGCATAAAAAGCTATAGAGTAATAAGATACAAGGCTTTATTTGATAAATATGGGTGAATTAGGTATCTGAAGCTGTTTATTCCCCCCCTCAAAGTAGACCTCCATGGAAGGTTACATTTTACATTTTACATTTTAGTTATTTAGCAGACGCGCTTATCCAGAGCGACTTACAGTTAGTGCATACATTTTTCATACTGGCCCCCCATGGGAATCGAACCCACAACCCTGGCGTTGCAAGCGCCATGCTCTACCAACTGAGCTACAGGAGGCTAGGTTAAGTATTGGGAGGTTATATGTTAAAGTTCCTGGTCAAAAGGACTTTGTTTGTACAAATGCTTGCCTCTTGATAAACTCACATTTGCCTCTTTTGATAATGATAACCAGGGGAATTTAGGGTGAAATACACTATATATAAAAAAGTATGTGGACACCCCTTCAAATTAGTGGATTCGGCTATTTCAGCCACACCCGTTGCTGACAGGTGTATAAAATCGAGCATACAGCCATGCAATCTCCATAGACAAACATTGGCAGTAGAATGACCTTACTGAAGAGCTCAGTGACTTTCAACGTGGCACCGTCATAGGATGCCACCTTTCCAACAAGTCAGTTTGTCAAATTTCTGCCCTGCTAGAGCTGCCCCGGTCAACTTTAAGTGCTGTTATTGTGAAGTGGAAACCACTAGGAGCAACAACGGCTCAGCCGCGAAGTGGTATGCCACACAAGCTCACAGAACGGAACTGCCGAGTGCTGAAGCACGTAGCGCGTAAAAATCGTCTGTCCTCGGTTGCAACACTCACTACAGAGTTCCAAACTGCCTCTGGAAGCAATGTCAGCACAATAACTGTTCGTCGGGAGCTTCATGAAATAGGTTTCCATGGCCGAGCAGCTGCACACAAGCCTAAGATCACCATGCCCAATACCAAGCATCGACTGGAGTGGTGTAAAGCTCGCTGCCATTTGACTCTGGAGCAGTGGAAACGCGTTCTCTGGAGTGATAAATCACGCTTCCCCATCTGGCAGTCCGACGGACTAATCTGGGCTGATGCCAGGAGAATGCTACCTGCCCCAATACATAGTGCCAACTGTAAAGTTTGGTGGAGGAGGAATAATGGTCTGGGGCTGTTTTCATAGTTTGGGCTAGGCCACTTAGTTCCAGGGAAGGGAAATCCTAACGCTACAGCATACAATGACATTCTAGATGATTCTGTGCTTCCAACTTTGTGGCAACAGTTTGAGGAAGGCCCTTTCCTGTTTCAGCATGACAATGCCCCCGTGCACAAAGCGAGGTCCATATAGAAATGCTTTGTCGAGATCGGTGTGGAAGAACTTGACTGGCTTGCATAGAGCCCTGATCGCAACCCCATTGAACACCTTTGGGATGAATTGGAACGCCGACTGCGAGCCAGGCCTAATCGCCCAACAACAGTGCCCGACCTCACTAATGCTATTGTGGCTGAATGGAAGCAAGTCCCTGCTGCAATGTTCCAACATCTAGTGGAAAGCCTTTCCAGAAGAGTGGAGGCTGTTATAGCAGCAAAGGGGGGACCAACTCTATATTAATGCCCATGATTTTGGAATGAGATGTTCGAGGAGCAGGTGTCCACATACTTTTGGTCATGTAGTGTATCTGTAGGAATTAGCTCAAAAAACATTTTACATGGCAAAATGATTTTCTCTTTGCGAACTTTGTGCCTACATATCACCCCCAATTCTACCGCTGATAATAATAATGGGTTGAATTTATACAACGCTTTACATTGTATGGATGGAAAAATCACCTCATCCATTGTGTATGTAGTGTCCATATCAGGACAGCCTCAGAGTCACAATGAGTCTTTTGGGTGTTGTCTGCAGGGTATGAACTACCTGGAGGAGCGTCACCTGGTGCACCGTGACCTGGCGGCCAGAAACGTTCTGGTGAAGACACCTCACCATGTAAAGATCACAGACTTTGGACTGGCCAAGCTGCTCACCGCAGACGAGAAGGAGTACCACGCTGATGGGGGCAAGGTTGGAGCAACTGACACCGCTGACCATTCCAATAGTCACATTTATTTTTGTACAACACATTTAATTTCCCTACTGGAACAATAAACATTGAATTCAGTTGAACTTTTACTGGATGGTCAATGGATTTAACTGTGTGAGTAAAGTGAGTGAAAATACTTATTTACTTGTAACTCACTCAACCATGGCTGACCAATAATCTTTACTCCTAGGTGCCCATAAAGTGGATGGCACTGGAGTCCATCATTCACTGGACCTATACCCATCAGAGCGATGTGTGGAGCTACGGTAAGTCCAACTGGACAAACAGAACAGCACATATTTGAGGAAATAGTCAAATAAACTGAACTTCTGAACAACTGCAGCTTCTGAAAGGTTTCCTGATGATGTTCCTGTAATGACATGCAGGTGTGACAGTGTGGGAGCTGATGACGTTTGGGTCCAAGCCCTACGATGGCATCCTGGCCAGTGAGATCGCTGGAGTCCTGGAGAAAGGAGAGCGCCTGCCTCAGCCCCCCATCTGTACCATAGACGTATACATGATCATGGTCAAATGTGAGTGATGTGCACCATAGATATGTATTGCACACTCACACAAGAGGTTTGACCTTTGTGTTTGACCTTTATCTTCCTTCAGGCTGGATGATCGATGCAGACAGCAGACCGCGGTTCAGGGAGCTCATCTCTGAGTTCTCCAAAATGGCCAGGGATCCATCTCGATATCTGGTCATTCAGGTCATTGAAAATATTATTCTTCTTCTATTTAGATAGTTGCATCAACTGTTATTTATTTGACGGGACATTACAGACAAGGTATTTGAACCCATGATTGTGACTAATTCACTTTCTGATAAAGGCAATTGATGGCCGAAACAGGTTTTTACATAAGCAAAAATAAAATAAAGCTTTTAATTGAGATAGAATGGCATCTGTTTTTCGACTAATTTACTCTAAATGTACATTTCAGGGAGATGATTGCATGTACCTGCCCAGTCCCACAGACTCTAAGTTCTACACGAGCCTGATCAGTACATCAGAGGACATTGAGGATGTGGTGGATGCAGAGGAGTATCTTCTCCCCGATAAGGGCCTCTCCAATGGGCAGATCACCCAGCACCACAACTCAAGGGTAAACGTAAACACACACACACACACACACACAGACACACACAGACACACACAGACACACGGCTGATGTCTGATGTGTCGATTGTCTCACCACAGAATGGCCATCCGATGAGAGAGAACAGTGTGATCCTTCGCTACATCACGGACCCCACCCACGGCAGTTCTCTAGAGAAAGATTTCTCCGCTCTTCCAGGTACAGTACAAATTGTATCCATGGCGAGTTATTGACTTAACGTTCAACTTACAGTAACACAAATGCATTGAGAGCGTAACAGTTCAGCATCATGTATCATCACTGCTCTCTACTGTAAGCCTGGGTATTTCATTTTTCTTACCGTATCCTAGAATACATGAACCAGAGCGGGAACACCAGGCTCGCTGACGTCTTCAACCCCAACTATGAGGACCCTAGCGAGCCAGACTGGGCTGGTAGGGCCTCCTTTAGGTACGACCCTGACAACAAGTTCTTCAACTCCCTGCCGCGCGTGCCGGAGGGACCCGAGTACCTCAACATGGCCCACAGTACCCTCCCTCGCTCCGTCTGCGAGAGCATGGACAACCCAGACTACCAGGAGGTCTTCCTGCCTCAGGCCACGCCCACCAGTAGTCACTTCCTGCCCGCAGCAGAGAACCTGGAGTACCTCGGATTGAGCGCTGCTGTACACACCCCTGTACGCTAGGGCTCTGTCTCCTACAGAACACAGGGACAGTGAGGGACAATGGGACCTAAAGAAACTTGGATGGAGACAGATGTGGGACATCAGTGAGGTTTTGGATGAATTAGTCATGTGGTTGTCCTTTTATTTCTGGAGCAAATAGGCTTTATGCATTGTTCTTGGCAGTTGGAGATGGAGCAGCACCAAGTCAGCCAAAACCAAGATGGCGTCAGTCATGAACTGATGCTCCTGGAAAATGTGTTCTCTATTTCAAATCCATGGATCAACCATCCATTTAGACAACTTTGAGTGACTTTCAGATCAGAAGAATGAGCCAAAGCCTTGACATAACAATTATGTAATGCAAATCATTTTTATACTGTTGTTTTTCCAGTCCGTGTGTGGAACATTTTTTTTTTTTTTGCCATGAAATGTGAAGAGGACAGAGTAGACAGCCCACTAAGGCTGGACACTGATGGACCCTGTGCTTACATTGTATTGCGGATATCATATTTTACAGATCTTTTCTCTGTTGTACACACTTGAATGCCAAGACTCAAACCATTTGGGGTACTGAGCTACCGGTAACTAACAGGGTCAATCCAAAGGCTTTTGGAAAATGACACAGATGTACAGATTGTGTAGATCAACGCATGTCTCGCACAAGACCCACAAGACCGTAAATAATAACTATTTATTCTAGGTTATTCAGGTCTCACTCTTTGTCTTAGAATGAAAACAGTCTTAACTCCTACTAGCATTAACCATTTTAATTGGGCTGTAGTAACCATAGAGATAGAAGTTTAGGGCTCAATTAAATCTGGATCGCTGAAGTGTTACTGATTGCGCGATAGAAATGTAAAGGTCATTTCTGATCGAGCCGACATATGCAGCGTTTACTGTGAATGCAGTCTCCGCTAACGCGGGAACATTGCCTTTAAATTTCAATCACGCTGTAACGCTGAACTCCAGCAATACAGATTGAATAGAGCCCAAAATCTCTGTGATAGTAACTTTGTTTCCTGATGAGAATCGTCATTGCTGTGGTGACAATATAAAGTAATACAATACTGAACAGGTACTTCACTGGAAGAGGACAAATATATATACTATAAAGTACTATAACTACACAAATGTACAGCCAACGTTAACATATTGAATATATTTAGGGTTAAGGTGTTGATGCTTTATCTTGAGGTCATCTTCTTGGTACCATCAGTGTTATCTCTTTACTTTCCTTAGATACTGAGGCTGATGGAAAAGGTGATGGAAAGTCACCAATCAGTGTATGGTATTGGATGGTTGGTTGTTGCAGAGGTTTGAGCTGAATTTAATTGTGGTCTATAACAGTTTATTCCTATTGAAATGTTGGGGTCAGTCACAAGCCTGGGCTGACAATTCAATTTGGAGTGCCATTCTTCGACTTGTAATAATTGAGCCAGATATTAGAAAGCAATGTAATTAAACGTTTGCACATATTGTGACCTAGCAAAATGCCCTTTCCAGATTTGTATTTTAAAAAATTGCACAATTCATTGTCAACGTATTCTCCACTTAACATAACCTTGAATAGGTGTTAAATAATGTACAGGTACTTTTGAATGTGCACTAGTTTACTTCCATCATTGTCAATAATGGATCAAACCTACTACTGTGAACTAAAGTATGTTATTAAGTGTTGGTTTTAGATTTACAATAGCTAATTTCTAATAGATCAATCTTTTTTTTTCAAATTATTGATGTGGGTTGTCGTTTGAAAGAAAAGGAACATTGAACCCTAAAAATTGACGAAAGCTAGAACTGTTTACGATACGTAAAGAAAGCATACAGCATTGTTCATTGTAAGAGTCTAGTTGAGGATAAGACCATCAATAGTGTAGACTCTTAGCTCTTGTTAACAATAGATGTAATGTCACATTGTTTGTGAAATTCCTTAATGTCTAAAAAAACAATGTGATACAATGGGGGTTGTTTTAACAACCTATGATTCTGTCTATCCCCAAGTTGCACATCCACATGTAAATTCATTTTCAGTTCATATGGTATGAATGTACAATACCAATTCAAATGTATTTCACGAGAAATTAGTCTTAGGCAATGTTAGAAGGTTAGATACAGTGGCTTGCAAAAGTATTCACACCCCTTGGCATTTTTCCTATTTTGTTGCCTTACAACCTGGAATTAAAATGGATTTTTGGGGGGTTTGTATCATTTGATTTACACAACACGCTTACCACTTTGAAGATGCTAAATATTTTTTTTTGTGTGGAACAAACAAGGAATAAGACAAAAAAACAGAAAACTTGAGCGTGCATAACTATTCACCCCCCCCCCCCCCCCCCCCAAAGTCAATAATTTGTAGAGACACCTTTTGCAGCAATTACAGCTGCAAGTCTCTGGGTATGTCTTTATAAGCTTGGCACATCTAGCCACTGGGATTTTTGCCCATTCTTCAAGGCAAAACTGCTCCAGCTCCTTCAAGTTGGATGGGTTCCGCTGGTGTACAGCAATCTTTAAGTCATTGAGGTCTGGGCTTTGACTAGGCCATTCCAAGACATTTAAATGTTTCCCCTTAAACCACTCAAGTGTTGCTTTAGCAGTATGCTTAGGGTCATTGTCCTGCTGGAAAGTGAACCAGTCTCAAATCTCTGGAAGACTGAAACAGGTTTCCCACAAGAATTTCCCTGTATTTAGCACCATCCATCATTCCTTCAATTCTGACCAGTTTCCCCACAGCATGATGCTGCCACCACCATGCGTCACTGTGGGGATGGTGTTCTCGGGGGATGTAGCACAGTTGGTAGAGCATGGCGTTTGCAACGCCAGGGTTGTGGGTTTGATTCCCACGGGGGGCCAGTATGAAAAATACAAAAAATTATGTATGCACTCACTAACTGTAAGTCGCTCTGGATAAGAGCGTCTGCTAAATGACTAAAATGTAAATGTAAATGATGAGATGTGTTGGGTTTGCGCCAGACATAGCGTTTTCCTTGATGGCCAAAAAGCTCAATTTTAGTCTAATCTGACCAGAGTACGTTCTTCCATATGTTTGGGGAGTCTCCCACATGCCTTTTGGCAAACACCAAACGTGTTTGCTTATTTCTTTCTTTAAGCAATGGCTTTTTTCTAGCCACTCTTCAATAAAGCCCAGCTCTGTGGAGTGTACGGCTTAAAGTGGTCCTATGGACAGATACTCCAATCTCCGCTGTGGAGCTTTGCAGCTCCTTCAGGGTTATCTTTGGTCTCTTTGTTGCCTCTCTGATTAATGCCCTCCTTGCCTGGTCCGTGAGTTTTGTTGGGCGGCCCACTCTTGGCAGGTTTGTTGTGGTGCCATATTCTTTCCATTTTCTTAATAATGGATTTAATTGTGCTCCGTGGGATGTTCAAAGTTTCTGATATTTTTTTATAACCCAACCTTGATCTGTACTTCTCCACAACTTTGTCCCTGACCTGTTTGGAGAGCTCCTTGGTCTTCATGGTGCCGCTTGCTTGGTGGTGCTCGTTGCTTAGTGGTGTTGCAGACTCTGGGGCCTTTCAGAACAGGTGTATATATACTGAGATCATGTGACACTTAGATTGCACACAGGTGCTTTATTTAACTAATTATGTGACTTCTGAAGGTAATTGGTTGCACCAGATCGTATTTAGGGGCTTCATAGCAAAGGGGGTGAATACATATGCACGCACCACTTTTCCATTATTTATTTTAAAGAATTTTTTGAAACAAGTTATTTTTATCATTTCACTTCACCAATTTGGACTATTTTGTGTATGTCCATTACATGAAATCCAAATGAAAATCCATTGAAATTACAGGTTGTAATGCAACAAAATAGGAAAAACACCAAGGGAGATGAATACTTATGCAAGGCACTGTACTTGTATGTAAATTAGCATTTCCTGGAAATCCCTTAACTGTGAGTCTTTCCATTCCCTTATTTTAAACGATAACAGAGGCGGCTCAAGCCCTGTTTTTGTGATTGTGTATGATATTACAGTGGTTAGAAGTCAGTAATGCATGCAAGTAGAAAATAGTTGGCAATTCAACTCAATCAAGCAGTTGGTAATTGTGAGACTACTGCACTCTGAGCCAACAGAGTTTGACACGTTACCATTACGTTCTTCCTGTGTTTGTATACTGTATCTAGTAGTATTGTGTTTAGGAGATCACTTTCAATTGTGCACTTCACACATCCAAAAGTACAACGTTCCACTGTAATGCTATGTCCTAGATGCTACGATGCTGTAAAATAAAGAGTTTAATCTACACTGTATGGGTTATTTATCTAATTATTTATCAGGTTTTCCGTCAGCAATAGAAGCTACATGATCATGATTGTTTTTCAAACCATAAGCCAGGATTGTGTTAATTAGGCAGAGGGACTACCTTGACTTGTCCTATAAGAAATGCTCCTTTTCCGTGGCGTGCCCTAATGAACATGACCCAGGGCTAGTTAGGACATTTTGGCAAGCAGAATAAAGCATGACATTTAATACAACATTTATTGTTAGAGTATGTACAAATTATTTTATTAGCATGATTTCAACAATTTTTTACAATAAGTTAATGGCTGTGGTATAAGATGAAATGTCATTCCTCAAACTGTTGCTTGCTTCATGATTGCTTGCTCCCCGAAAACTTGCTTGAAGTATACCACGTGTTCCTCACAGTGCTCACCTAAAGGCCAATCAAAACAGAGTATTGGGTCAAAGGTCAGTCAATACGCCAGTGGCAGTTGGGTGGGAAGTGAATTTTTAGCAATTCATTAATTAATTAATTAGATATTTATTCCAAGTTTTATTTGTTACCGCACTGCACACCTGTTGGTTGTGTTTTTAGCATTGGTACCGATTGTGTCCCCTTATTCATTTACATTTTACATTGGATATTTAGACAGGTCTTTGCTTTGCTCTTTGTCATGGATTTCAGTTTGCGTTGATAATGTGGGCGTCTATAAAATCTGAAACCTATAGGAAGCAGGTTCACAATCACGGATGGTCTCCCACTCACACATGTTCCAACGTTTCAAAGAAACCATGCAATTGGGGTAAATGTATTCGTATGAATAAAAAAAGCAATACGAGCACACAATAACAGCAAGCGAGGTCAACTAAACTGCTTCAGCACATGCCTGTTGTTCCTGCTTTAACTGAGTTATTATTTGGGTCAAGGTAATCTAATATAAATCACACAGAGGGCACTCATTCATTATTGAAAACTATGGCGTTATCAACATTTCTACAACATTCTAGAGTCAATGTGTGAATTCTTTCTACGGTCATTACAAAAGAGTTAGTCAGACCAGAGCCATAGAAACACAGGAATTTGGTGCCACCCTACGCAGTGCTATTCCTTCGACCTATCGGTGCGGACAAGTCACGCTATTGGTAAGTCAAGCCATCTGACCTAAGACAATGTGGCTCTTGAGTAAGTGGTCTCCTACGTGAGCCATGGTGAAAAGTAGCGCACTACATAGTGAATAGGGTGCCATTTCAGCTGAAGACCTAGTGTAGAGGTGTTGCCTCACCTGGGTTGAAGCTGGGGCTGCCTCTAAGGCGCAGGTTCCTCTGCTCGAAGAACCGGAAGATGGTGTAGAAGAGCATCTGGTCGGCCGTCTGGAGCGCCGCGTCCAGGAACTTGCGAGCGGAGATGTTGTCGTGGCCGCCCACACTGCGGATGAAGCGCAGCGCACCCAGCACCTGCTGCCTGGACAGGAGCACCTCCACGATCTCATCGTTGGCCGTGGACAGTCTCTGTCACACACATAGATAGACGTAGGATGTTACAGACCAGCATGTTAAACATGTCTACATGAGTGCCTGGATTTATTGTTATAAGTTAGCCATGAATTAAGTTATTCTATAATTAGTTGTACTAATAGAAAATTGTCTAAAGGAACTTTGAAATAGGATTCTCTGGAAAACAACATTTACATTTTAGTCATTTAGCAGACGCTCTTATCCTGAGCGACTTACAGGAGCAATTAGGGTTAAGTGCCTTGCTCAAGGGCACCGACAGATTTTTCACCTAGTTGGCTCGGGGATTAGAACCAGCGACCTTTCGGTTACTGGCACAACGCTCTTAACCACTAAGCTACCTGCCGCCCAATTCTACAAAGGACTTTGGGGATGTCCTGTGTGATATCCGATAGCTGTTTAAATAGTCTGCATGTGTGTGTGTGAGACAAGTGCATGTGAGTGTGTATGTGCGTCGTACCTTTAACATGTCCAGGGAGAGCTGGTGTGCAGCGGGGTATGTACCTTCTAGAGACAGCAGCAAACAGGCCTTAAGACAATACAGACACTACAGATGTTAATTCCACGACCAATCAAAATAAAAATCTTACAGTGGAACTGATCCAAGGTCTGCTCAACCAATGTAACAAGAGACAGAGTACATAATCAACCACCGCTACAGTAGCCTTGTGCCTTTTACTTGCAACAAACAGTTAGCTGGTGAGAAATGGGATCACGGGAAGGCTATATGAGGAGGAGGTGGTTCCCACGCATTATATTGGATTAAATATTACATCGGAATAGATTTTCAAAAACCTGGGTCAAACATATATGTCAAAAGGATTATATATTGTTTCCATTGCACCAGGCAAACCTTATGACGTGCAGCTGAAGTATTTGACCTAGATCTTTTCTGAAGCATTGAGTCTTCAGCAATCACAGCTTGCTAGCCCTTTGTATTAAAAACTTTAACCTCCAACTCCTCTGAATACCCAAAACCTATTGAGGACTACAGGACCAAACTACCATTAAATAGTTGAGCTTAGTTTCTAATAATTGCGGACTCACCAGAGGTTTAGAGTCGCTGAGGACGTGGTACTGCAGGAACTGATGAAGCATGTAGAAGAGGCTGTGATGAACCAACGTCTTAATGACCAGCTCATACAGGTAATGCTGGGGGAAAAACAGAGAAGGAGAAAGTGGACCTTATATTTCAGACAACTCAACGTCACAGTTCCCAATTGAAAGGTCATATGATGACAATATCTCCATGGCAATATGGGACAATAAATATGCAGAATGTACAGGAACACAAAGCATACTAATGTAGCACTGAGAACATGTTACAAGATGAAACAGTGTCATCCCACCAGTATGCATAAAAAAACACAAAACTCTGTTCTGATAAGAGCCCCCCGAAAATACATTTCTGCAATGAGTACCTACCTGCACAGTGATCTGGACCTGGTTGAGTGAGCGAATGTACTCCATCAGCACAGCAATGATAAATTTGTGAGATATGTCCTGTTGGAGGGGTGAAACGATATCATGTTCAGTCATCTTACAGACAATTGAGGAAAAAAAAACGTTCAATTGAATAATGTGCTTCACCGCGTCACCTTTTTCTCTGTGAAGGAGGACAGAACGTGCGTGTACATGTCTGACTGGTCGATAACCGCCTGCGTACGGACGGGCCTCTCCCGAGCAGTGCTGCCTCGACTGGGACCAGACTCCATAGCCTGGAAGAGATCAACAGGAAACAACATAGGCAAGTTACTGCAACAGACATTGTGTGGGATGCTGTCCTGATCCACCGTAATACGGATGAAAACTCAAATCTGTTCAGTTGACTAGATCATGTTAATCCTTTTTGTTGTTCAAGTTACACAATCAAAATTGTTAGACCGATCTACTAGTAAGATACCACTACTGTTCTAAATATCTTTTCACTAGTGTCACTTGATTTTCAAATAAATTAAGAAGCTAACTATTTAACACAATTAGCGTTGCTGTGCATTTATCAAAAATAATATAATTGAAGTAAATCCATTTAGCCACATGCATTCAACACTGTATTCTCTGATCATGTCTTGCTAGCAGTCAAGATAGCTCTGCTAGAAAAAGTGTCTCTTCCATGGCACAAATAAAAACCCGAAGCAGACCCAACTCTTTGCTGCTTTAAAAAACAGCCGTATGTAAAACAGTGTGCTACACCTTGGAAAATAAATATGACAACATAACGATGTTTGTTTCCAACAGAGTTGTTCTCCTAAAGACGTTACGCTTATTGTTTTGTTTGCTCGATACTGGTATGGTCCCAGCCCTAATAGACAGTACTCACAACAGTGTAGGTCTGTTCTGCCTCCAGGTACTCTTTGTACACTTGGTTGAGTTTGTCGAAGACTGTGGCCACCACTGGTAAACTCCCCTTGTCTTCCCCGTTGAGCACTGAAAACACACAGAGAGAGAGGCCTTGAGTGAACACTATCGATGTTCACTATGGTTTAGGCTCCCCTTATCGTCTATTCTACAACCTTGTTTTATTAGTGTGATTCATTCAGCGTCGAACACAGTCTCTGTTTCACAAGGCAGTCTTACTTTGTGAGCACACGGACAGGATGACCATCTTGCAGTCTCGTCTGCGGAGGAGGAAGTCAATCAGCTTGCCCTTGTCCTTCAGGAGGTTGACGGCCGGCGGCAGCTTCACCTGCAGATACCACAGATACCCTGAAGCAGAGGGGGAACACACAGAACCGGTCAGACACCCTGAAGCAGAGGGGGAACACACAGAACAGGTCAGACAACCATGCGAGAACCTGAGCCCCATCCGGAACAACAAACTGCAGATATGAGAAGTTTGGATAGGTGCAAGCAATATGGCAACCATTCTACACAGCCTACAAGAGGAGGTGGTGGCTCTACTACCACACTGGTCACTGTACACCCATCTGATCCCATCAGATCTACAGTGAATAGGGGTTAGTGGTTGTTTCTGGTCCAAATTATTACAGACAGTTAGCCGGGACATAGTCGTCTATGGTTAGATGTGGGGGTGTTCTCACTCACCTTCGCTTGCACTGATGATGATGTCGGGTTGAAAGACGCTCCAAGATGAGGAGTCTGAAGGTCAAGGGAAGCATCCATGTTCATCAGTAACACCACAACCTACCATTTCCCTGCTAGCTGTTCCAATTGTCATTGACACCCTTTCATTGACAAGTGTCGCTGCAGCTCATCTAGCTACTGGCATTTCATGAAGGATACAGAGCTCACAAGGCACCGGGGGCTGGCTGGGTACAGCAGCAGGACCTACGGAGACAGGGAGAAGTGTCAGAGAAGTGAAGATAGTTTCTGTCAGGGCTTTAAGAGATATGGGACGGGACATAAGGAAGGGCGGGAAAGAGAGCACAAGAAATGTAAAGAAAACTTCTAAAAGTTTACGTAATATCTCAGACAGACAGAATGACACATGGGTAGAAAGAGACAGCTCTGTCTGTCACACAAGAGTGACAGAGCGATACAGTTACAGCTGGAGTGACTGACAGACAAGACAGGCAAAGACACACAGCCAGTCAGACAGAGTCAGCCAGTCAGACAGGGTCAGCCAGAGTCAGCCAGTCAGAGAGTCAGCCAGTGTCAGCCAGTCAGACAGGGTCAGCCAGAGTCAGCCAGTCAGAGAGTCAGCCAGTGTCAGCCAGTCAGTGACCAAAACAGCCAGTCAGTTGGTAAGGACTGGCCTGTCCACACACACTCAGTGGCCAGTTTATAAGAACACCACTCCGTTCACCAAAATAGTTCTCTCTTACAGACAGTGAGTCACGTGGCCGTGGCTTGCTATACAAAGCAGGCAGAAAGGCAGAAAACAGCTAGTTGATGAGAGGTCAAAGGAGAATGGCAAGAATCGTGCAAGCTAACAGGCGGGCCACAAAACAGACAAATAACGGCGCAGTACAACAGTCGTGTGCAGAATGGCATCTCGGAACGCACAACTCGTCCACGACCACACCGGGTTCCTCTCCTATCAGCTAAAGACAAAAAGAAGTGGCTCCAGTGGGCACACGATTACCAACACTGGACAATTGAGGAGTGGAAAAACATTGCATGGTCCGTCGAATCCCGGTTCCTGATGCGTCATGAGTCCATGGCCCCATCCTGCCTGGTGTCAACGGTACAGGCTGGTGGCGGTGGTGTAATGGTGTGGGGAATGTTTTCCTGGCACACGTTAGGTCCCTCGATACCAATTGAGCAATGTTTCAATGCCCCGAAGAATTCAGGTTGTTCTGGAGGCAAAAGGAATCCGGCCCAGTACTAGATGGGTGTACCTAATAAACTGGCCACTGAGTGTACATACATAGAGTAAATCCGGGTGGCCTATGTTAACTCAAAATGACAATGTTCCAGTTTAACAACGTTTACTTCACCGTATTACCACAGTACATAGTCGCCATCACACTCCTTTTTTTTGTTTCCACAGTGTTCCTTCGCTCTTAGCTTCAGGCGGAGGTCGGATGTGAATGTCCCTTGACAGCTCTGTTCCCTGCAAAAATGCAGATTTGATGTCTATGGAATGAGGTTTCCATTTTTTCTGGCAGATCACTCAGCAGCTATCTGAGTGACTGAGGCGCATGTCGGTAAGTCTTTTGGGAGTTCTTTAGCAGCCAGCTCCTCAAAAGCTTTTGGCACTATTCCAGTTAAGGATTCTTTAAGGGTACACAACCACCTTGTTGAGACACATTTTTGGCCAATGTCTGACTTCCTCAAACACTCAATTTTTCCTCCAATTACTGAGCTCATCTAGTTTAGCTGAGCCAAATGACACGTCCTTGATTTCAAGTACATCATCATTTTGAATGTCATTCTGTTTTTCTCCATTTTCCATTGGTTCAATTCTGAGATTATCTACAAGTGGCAGGTCAGCTGACCCTGTTGTACCAGAAAGTGTAGCTGGTTCAGAGTAATGCAAGTTGTACCAGTTCTGGTGTTTTCCTTTTGCTTTTCCTGCCTGTCAAATGACTGTTGCTGTGTGTGGAATACCACTTTCTCTGTCCATGTATTTAACAGTTTGTCCAGTTTTCAGATTGGAACAATGTCTTAACACGTGGCTGTTGTTGAACGTTTTCCTCATTTGAACCCTCAACAGTATAACCTGTGTCATGGTTGAAGGTCTCTGCTCCATTTCCTGTGTCAGTTTCAGTGTCCATATCATTGGATGCAACATCTGGTAGGTTTGTGTCTGTTAATGTGTTATTTTTGTCATTTTCAGTAGGAGGCTGATTCTCAGCAACAGCCCCTCCATCTTGTTGATCATTTACTTTCCGCAATCTTGAGTGATGCACCCTGACAATGGTGCCTCACAAATATCACCACATCATCTTGGCCAATGACGACTCCCGGTCCTTTCCACTCAACTCGATTGTAGTACACTTTGTTTCCAGTCTCGTACTTCTCATCTGTGGGTCGAAGCCGTTTACGCAGAGTCCTGCGAATTCGCTCTCAACACTCTGCTTCAGTGAACGCTTTTCTCACTGCATGTAGTGCTGAAAGGTGCTGTCCCACCCATGCGCTCACACTGGTCCCTTCTAGTGCTGGTGGCATGTCAACCAGTACATAGGGAAGATTAGGGTTCTGCCCAAACTGTAGTTGGTATGGGCTGTAGTCATGAACATTGTGCATTTAGTTTTTTGCCATCAAAGCCCAATCTAGGGCTGTTTTCCAGTCACATCCATTGTCTTGCTTGACTTTCAGCATGATCTCTGGGAGTGTTTGATTATGTCTCTCCAGAAGTCATTGCTCCATGGACTGAATGCAGCAGTTATCTTTACTTCCATGTAGAATTTCTCAGCCATTTCCCTTATTTCATTATTATTGAACTCTCTCCATTGTCACTGTACAATTTCTGGGGCAGGCCATGCACACTTATCCAGGAATGAATTAAGTGCTTGACGATTTCACTGGGTTTCTTTGTATTCACAATGCTTCCAGTACTGAAACGTGTGAAGTGGTAGATTATGTGAAGGTACCACACACTTGGTCCTAGCTCATGTAGATCTACAGCCACTGTTTCATTGTACTTGGAAGCCAGTGGCAAACCAACAGCTGGTCTGGGCTTAGGTTTGCTGTATTTCTGGCATGTCTCACAACTGTTGTTAACTATCTGCCGTAGAATGGAAATACTCTCATCATTATTATTCCCAGAACTGCTGAGTCATTTCTGAAGTCTGTCAGCTGTAGCATGTCCAAACTGTTTGTGAAGTTGAACAATCCTTTGTGTTTTTCCACTGTGGTCATGTTCTCTGTGACTGTCAAAATCTCCATGTGCTCTGTGTCTGTCAGAATCTCATTTTTACATGGACTCTGTGTGATGCCTTTGTCTAAAATGTTTCCACAATAGTGTCCTGAGGTAGTAAGTTCAAAGGTCACTGGTTGTTTAAACATCACTGCCTTGTCATTTTTGTTATGTCTAGTACAGCCCCTGCCTTCTTGAGGGAAGCTTTGCTTAATAGTAAGGGGATATCTGCAGGGACCACCTCTGTTTCAATGCGACACTTAGTCTGACAAAAACTGTATCTTGCCTCTCTTGGTAGAATGGACGACTCTCCATTCTCCAAATTTGAAAGCTCTGTTGCTTGGTGTGTCAATCATATTTTGTACTTTCATATTTAGTTCACTGACATAGCTATCCAGCCATTTTGCACCACACACTGCGTGTTCCTGCAGTATCAATCACAGCAGATCCTAAGGATTCAACTATAAAGATCTCAGAAGCAGATTCGTTTGAAACCAGTAATGTTACACTGCTCCATCTCTGTGTTTACATTTTCCTCTGTTAGTTTAACTTGTTCATTTTTATGAGGACAGTCTTTAACCCAATGGTAAGTGCTTTGACGAATAGCACATTTTTATCTCCTTCCATACCTGTCCAGTGGATGTGCGCCGGGCAATGGCGCCCTTGTCTGGTTGTCTTGAGAACGTGACTTCTCTCTGCAGCTCAGTGTAATATGCCATGTCACTCACTTGCATTCCATCTGTTATTTTTTTGTGCCGACTTCATTGACGCAAAAGTCAGCACAGTACAAGCAGTCAAAGCCAACTGATTCTCCCTACCATCCAGACAGGCAGTATCTAGCAACGTGAAAGCCAACACTGCATCCGGGAGAACCATGACGTACTTGCACATCCTATTGTAGCTCTGTTCGAAATCAATGATGTAGTCCGTCATTGCAACCGAAATGTCTCTAGTATCACTGTCAAAGTTTGAATATGCCTCGTAGGCACAGTCTTTCTCTTCTTTAAGAAACACAGAACCCAGTGCTCTGATCAAAATTCTCATACCGTCATCCTTGTTCAAATCCTCCATGGATATTTACAGCGGCGTATCTCTCGCTCTCCCCTCGAGTGATAATACCACCACAAGTGCTTGCTTTTTCTCGCCCAGATTAGTAACCCGTGTCCAGAATCCAAGTTCATTTTTCCAACTTTCATACGACCTCTTCTTGTCGAAGCGAGGTGGCACATTGTAGTTATTAACCATCCTCTGCTACCAATATTAACTCAAAATGACACAATGACTAGGTTCCAGTTTAACAACGTTTACTTCACACTCAGGCCAGGTCTATCCCGTGAGACTACAGCGCAGGCACACTAATAACAGAGTGATAGCACCATAATAACAGAAATATAGGGCTACTTAAAACATGAACTTAACAGCCTATACCTGTGAGGGGGATCCTGTAAGGGTGGATGGAGCGACCAGGCAGCACAGGCTGGTGGACGTTCAGAGCACAGTCGGGCTCCCGCAGCTTGATGTCAAATATGATGGAGGTCTGAAATAAGACATTATCTACATCATGCCAGACTGAACGGGTTTGGACCCTGGATATGAAACAACGTGACCATGGTAGTAGTTTGCCTGTCTAACCTCAAGCAGGGTTTTCCCATGAGTTTTTAACAAGGTGGTCCCCTTTTGGACTCAGCGATTTTGCATTTATGAACACCTGTAACTGTCTTTTCCTGGAATCTAGAAAAACAATGTACATTTTTTACATAGTGGCGCAGACAGTCCACAAGGTGGCACAGCACCCCTCTTACAATCTTTGGGGAGAACCCTGCTCAAAAGGCTACAATTGTCATTTCTTGCCAAAAGGACTCACCTGAGAGCTCTGATGATGAACTACCACCAGGTTATCCACCACATTGAGGGCAAACTTCCCCGTGGTGTTGAGTTTTAACACATTGGTCTTCTTACAGGATCCCTCCCTGGGAACAACATGCCATTCGACAAGACAGTGAGTGACATAATATTCCACTTTATCCCCTCAGGTATTCCCTACTCATAAATAACACCATGCATATTTCATTTCAACATTGATTCAGTAAATGTCTTATGAGTGGCTTCTTACTCTAGCTAGTGCTTATTTCTCTAGTTACACAAGAAACTCTGAATCTAAGTGTGATATGATTGCTGCATGACCATGTTAAGTTAGAAGGAGGAATTTCAGCATATTTAGAGGAATGCCCATTAGGAATATGCTACATGGAATGTAAGATGTACCTGGTTAGCTGATAGAGGACCACCTCAGCACAGGGACTGTCGGTAGTTCTGGAGTGATGCTTCAGATACATTACATACAGCTGACCGTAACTACCATTAGAAACAAAGTGAACAACTCATTCAGCGCTCATGCTGCTTCATACTGCCCAAAAGGGCTTTCGCTTTTTGTTTTAAAATGTTACTTGAATATTGAGCCAAAATATTAAATTTAAATTCAAACACAGTTAAACTGACATGGTGGCCACAGCAATGTCCCTCTCTGACAGATTGAGCTTGGCTGGCTTGGGAACCACTGGAAGCTCGATCTCAAACTTGGACATTTTAGACATGGTCCCACTCTGGAAGGACAAAAAACAACAACAGGTTTGATGATTAGACTTCCAGCAACTTGATGCTAATGCTTGCTCAAACATGAGCTTTTGGTGGCATATATTGTGTCTTACTGTATCAGGTGATGGACATTTGAGACATCTGTTATCTCAGTTGTGACCAGGTACCTTGAAGGCAAACGGCTGCAGCACGTTGCCCTGGGCGGTGGTAGAGAGCAGGATGACTGCAGTCTCAGGACAGTACATGTACCAGTTCACATTGATGCTCTGGCTCTTCAGCAGCTTCAGATTGCGCTTGTCAGGAAGCACCTAAACACAGCGGGCATCTCACTGACAACATCATCAACTCAAATCTGACGCCTAATAGGTATCCCTGTTCACATTGCAGTATTCCTCTATTTCCTATCCAGTATGAAGTGGAAACGTTACCATTCGACCTAATACTTCAAACTCTGACAACTTTTATTTCTCAGTCAGTGGTACATGAAGACCTCTAGTGGTTGTAGTTTTAATTTAGTTGAGTGAGTCACGTAAGCTTCATGTGACAATGTTTTAGTTTTTAAAAAAGAGCAATACAAGACAAATTCAATTGATTGTGCTGCAACACAATAACCTAAGAAACAATCTAGGAGTGTGCAACTTGTATTTTCCTGGTAGTGCATTCCTATCCTAAACCACAAACACAACTGGCTTATTATGTATCGCAAAATAAATATGAGTCATGTGAAATATTGTTACCTGATAGAATTCAATTCCCTGGTCAGTGATGAAAAGGATTTCATTCCAGTTGGTCCAACAGAAGCCCAAAATACTGGCATTCTTCATCTGCCAATCAAAAAGGAGAATATAAAACAAATCACACCTATAGAAAATCGACTCATGCTTAGTTACAACATGTAGAAATTACAGCTATTTTGAACTTGAAACATTTGACACTGCTTGCATACCTTACATTCCTGAGAGAATTCCAAATGCAGATAATCCGGTATGAAATTTATGAAATCCTAAGAGAAAAAAACAGTTGGGCCATCAGTGTGGATAGAAAACACAATGTTTGAATAACATTGAGTTGAGAATGATTGCATTGAGAATGATTGCTGTAATGCTTACCACAGATTTTGGTGTTCTCTGGACTGCCAAAATCTTATTTCCGATCGAAAACTTGATGCACTTCACCTCTCCTTTGTCATCCATTCTGTGAAGAAAATGTATATACTGCATGAGAGACAATCATCATTGAGCTTATGATCTTCATCACAATTTATGCATCATCTTGTTACCTGAAAGCAACTGAGCTTTTGTCCTCTGGTCCTTTAACCACAACCCCAGTGGCACCCCCTGATCGCACTGCAAACACCTGAAGGCGCAAACACGGTAAATAGAGAACGATCAATATATAAAAGGACTTGGAGCCTGGTAAACATTACATTAGGACGATAGTGAAACTTCTACCTGAAGCAATAGAATGAGGGTTACTGCTCGTCTAAACTGACTTGTTTAGATGGTGAATGTATTGCCAGTGTTGACAGTGGAGAGACATGCGTTAATGTTGACTGAAGTTCACTAATTCGTCTACCTCCTTGGTACCTACCATATTAACTAGCTATACTGTATGGCTACACTTTAGGACCTTGACCAAGCTGCAACATGGGAATTAACACAGTGTGAAAGCCACCCTCATCAAAGAAAGTTATCTGTACTTGCGTTCACATAAGCCAACATACTGCAGTACCTAGCTGAATTAATGGAAAGGTAAATGTCGTAAAAACAAGACAATTAGCTATCTATAATTGCGCTAACTAAGCATGTAGCTAGCTAGCTATATCTGTCTGTCTCTGGTGTAACCAGCATAGCTGAGCATATCCTGCTAGCTAGCCTAGGCTACTAGTACTCTACCTGTTTGTTTGCTTCGTCAAAAAACACATTGTTGACGCTTGAGGCATTTTCAAATTGCACAGGATTTTCACAAAGCTCTAGGTAGTAGTGTTCCTCACTCATTGTGAACTTTTAGTTTAGCTAACTATTATGTCTTGTAGTTAGTTGTCAGTGTTTGTTCTGCATTTTATAACTGAATTGTCCAAAAGCCTCTCTCTAGGGCAAGTTCCGGTTTCAAAATCATGTGACAGTCATGTGAATCCCCGAAGACAGTAATGCCACAGATAGAACAATGATGTATAAATCTGAAGCATCCGCTTGACGTTTCCACTTACCACCAAATATGGTAGTGAGAGGAAGCCCAGTGGCCGGCAGTGGGAGAAGATGGAAGGAGATGGATTTTGGCCGACATTCTGCACATTTTCTCATCGACTAAACATTTGATCTCAATACAGTTTTCTGTTCCCAAAACTAGAATATGTTGTGAACAGTGGACTAAGTTTTGTAGAATTTACCCTTTGCAAAAGTTTTTAAAAAATCGCGTTATTTAGGAGTGCAAATGCGAATTCAGTTATTGCACACGCGCACTTCACAGACTGGGCATTCCCTAACGGAAATATGCAGATGTTTGCTGAAACGGGCCAATAGGATCTCGCTAGCTCGTGCTTGGCTCTGCCCACCTCCTTGCTTGTTCTGCCCACTATGACTCATTTGTTCCCATTGGAAACGACAGGCTGTGGTCGATCTTGGTTTAGTAATTTTTGTAAAAAATCTGTGGTAATGCTGCGTTCAATTCATGTCGGAAACTCGGGACCTCAGAGTTAAAATGAAACTATATTATTTGCGTAAAGCTTCCTATTGGTTGATTATGGTACCTCTCAGTTGGAAACTCGGCATCCGACTCTTCCACCTAGGTTAGCAAGTCGGACATTTCCGAGTTTCCAACGTGACATGAATGCAGCTAAATGCTCCTTTCAAAATAAAAGTCCATTGTCAAACTGAAATCGAACGCTCAAAAGAGATACAGGTGGTGTCTGGAGGCTTTTATACAAGTGGGACTGCCTTACTATAATATTGACATGTTAAAGTTACACTTAGATTGCTTGTTATATGTATTGTTTTATAACTCCTAGTTTAGGTGTGGTGTCTCCTGTCTTCCAGCAGCAGCTCCTGCTGCTCGATTTGTCCAGAGCAAAGTAAAATTAATGACAAAGCGTAACTACAATTTTGGCCATTTATTTCCACCATTCTATTGCAGTTACAGAGCACAGACAAACACAGCTCCCTTGTAAGGTCAATCGACCTCAATGCATCTCAGAGCCAATGACAAACAACTAATTGTGTGTCTTCATTCATGAGAGCAAGTTTCATGATTAAAATAGTTACTGACACCTACTAGGGCTCTTCACCAAATGTTGGATTGCAATTTGTTCCATTCATATAACATAACGCAAAGCTCTTTTCATTTGAGCTCAGTTCACCTGTGAAGAGAACTTCATGTCATGAATGCTGAATACCCTCTAATTTAAAAAGCAATTATTGTGTAGGCATGTAGATGCATCCGTCATGTCCCCATCCATTCCATCTACAGCCGTAGTAATGGAATGAGATGTTGACATTTCATGGAGGTGTATGGGAGGCTTTTCAGACCACTGCCCCCAGTGTAGCCTATGACGCCATCTTGGGATGCAGTGACCTTTCGACCTCTCGTGTCCCTCATTGTGAAAGACCGTGGGGGGGATTACTCGCCCATTCTCTCAAACAGAATCAACCAAACAGGTTCCATGGAGCTAATCATGGTGTCTAACATCTCATCGTTAATCATCCTCGTCGTGTAATAGGGGAGGCCCTCCGTCGCTGGTGCTGGAGGCGTATGTTTTCTTGCCCCTTCTCTGCACATGGTCTTCATTCATCTTCTCCAGTGCCTCGATCTAGAAACGACAAGTGAGGACAGTGTTAATACAAATCACACAGACGTAGAGGAAAGTAGCTCATCAACTTAATGATGTGCATACAGGTATTCAACCCCTGTATGAAAGTTAATATTATAATCCCCGGTTTCTGGTAAGCACTTTGTGACAAGCGTTCTATATCTATACAATTTGATGGATTAGGGTCAAATTGTACAAAAATGTAAATGCAACATGTAAAGTGTTGGTACCATGTTTCATGAGCTGAAATAAAAGATCCCAGAAATGTTCCATACGCACAGAAAGTTCATTTTGCACAACTTGTGCACACATTTGTTTACATCCCTTTTAGTGAGCATTTCTCCTTTGCCAAGATATTCCATCCACCTGACAGGTGTGGTATATCAAGAAGCTAATTAAACAGCATGATCATTACTCAGGTGCACCTTGTGCTGGGGACAATAAAAGGCCACTCTAAAATGTGCCGTTTTGTCACACAACACAATGCCACAGTCTCAAGTTGAAGGAGCGTGCAATTGGCATGCAGACTGCAGGAATGTCCACCAGAGCTGTTGCCAGAGCATTGAATGTTCATTTCTCTACCATAAGCTGCCTCCAACGTCGTTTTAAAGAATTTGGCAGTGCGTCCAACCGGCCTCACAACCACGTGTAACCACGCCAGCCCAGGACCTCCACATCCGGCTTCTTTCATGAAGGACCGTCTGAGACCAGCCACCCGGACAGCTGATGAAACTGTGGGTCTGCACAAACTGTTAGAAACCGTTTCAGGGAAGCTCATCTGGTGCTTGTTATCCTCACCAGGGTCTTGACCTGACTGCAGTTCGGCGTCGTAACCAACTTCAGTGGGCAAATGCTCACCTTCGATGGCAACTGGCACACTGGAGGTGTGCTCTTCACGGATGAATCCCCATTTCAACTGTACCGGGCAGATGGCAGAGAGCATGTTTTGCGTTGTGTGGGCGAGTGGTTTGCTGATGTCAACGTTGTGAACAGAGTGCCCATTGTGGCGCTGGGGTTATGGGCAGGCATAAGCTACGGACAACGAACACAACTGCATTTTATCGATGGCAATTTGAAAGCACAAAGATACCGTGACGAGATCCTGAGGCCCATTGTCGTGCCATTCATCCGCCGCCATCACCTCATGATAATGCACGGCCCCATGTCGCAAGGATCTGTACACAATTCCTGGAAGCTGAAAATGTCCCAGTCCTTCCATGGCCTGCATACTCACCAGACATGTCCCCCATTGAGCATGTTTGGGATGCTCTGGATCGATGTGTACGACAGCGTGTTCCAGTTCCCTCCAATATCCAGCAAGTTCGCACATCCATTGAAGAGGAGTGGGACAACATTCCACAGGCCACAATCAACAGCCTGATCAACTCTATGCGAAGGAGATGTCGCGCTGCATGAGGCAAATCGTGGTCACACCAGGTAGTGACTGGTTTTCTGATCCACGCCCCTACTTTTTTTTTTTAAAGGTATCTGTGACCGACAGATGTATATCTGTATTCCCAGTCATGTGAAATCCATAGATTAGGGCCTAATTTATTTATTTAAATTGACGGATTTCCTTATATGAACTGTAACTTAGTAAAATCTTTGAAATTGTTACATTTTATGTTTTTGTTCAGTGTAGTATAAAAAAAAGGCACTTCAGTGCATGATAGATTTTCCTGTGTGTGGGACTCTAGATAATACAAGAGCCCACTTTAAACTGCCTGTAAAACATATTTCTGTAAATTCAATGCAACTACATGAATCTCCACTAGAGAAATAATACCCTTATAGGGACCTCAATGTTTTCTGACCTGGGCAAGGAAGTCTGCCTCGCTGTCACCGCTGAGCTGCAGCCCAGACACAACGTTGAAGAGCTCGTACGCATTCATGGCTTCAGACACCCCGCCCTTCTGGAAGAACTGCAGAGACGAGATAAAAAAGGATATCTTGTTATTAAAACCACCAGCATGTCACTGTTACGAAACCCGATCTAAAAATAGTGTACATATTTGTTTTGACTTTCGCTCAGTTTCCACCAGCACTCATTGTATGTTTTGAGGTGTGGCAGCTAAATATACAGGATCTCAGCCATTCAAAATGTACCTGACCCCTTAACCCTTACCTTAACCATTCGGAATGAGCGCCTAAACTTAACCCTTAACTTCTACATTTGACATTTGGAGAACGTGAATGAACGTCTAATTCTGCAGTGAGACAGAGCTTGTTGTGCAAATCAGGACTTTAGTCAGTATTTACTGTGAGCTGTAAGTAACAGGCAATTTAAACCTACAGTACTTGCATCACTGTGAGCTAACTTACCGTAGCCACGTTCCTGCAGTCCCTGAACAGGAACTCAAGGCCGTGAGGGTGATTGGGCTCAATGGACTGACTTACATCAATCAGCCAAACCTACATAAAACAAGATGATTAAATCACTCATGCTGAATGAAGGTAAAATATCATGCCTGAATATCCAGTTTAAATTCACCATGGGGAATTAGGTGTAAAAATAAGTTGTAGATTGACCCACCTGGATAAATAAAGGTTAGACAAACATGATAAATAGCCTACCTTCCCCTGATGCCACAGCATGTTGTATTCGCTCAGGTCAGCGTGGACGAGGTTACACTCCTGATACAACTGCTGCATCAGCTGCAAGGACAGACAGACACATCCAGGGGTCATAATGTTCCAGATTTATACTTTTCAGTAAGGGTGTGTTCTGAGGATACTCATCTCTTTGAAACTAGTGTGTACAACCAGATATTACTATGACGTATGTAAATACACAACAATATAAATAACGTCTACATTAGTGCATCGTGGCACAGCAGCTGCACTCACATGAAGCACTTGATAGTAGGCCCTGTTCATGTCCTCAGAGCCCAACATGGCCTCTTTCAGTTTGGGAGCCGGCACATGGTCCTTGCCAATGAACGACATCACCAGGATGTGCTTCTTCAGAACCACCACCTCAGGGCATGGGATGTCAGCCTTCTTCATACTGATGGAGTCGGGAAGAGAGAGTGAACCGTAACACAGTTGGAGAATTGGCATCTACATTTTTGGCCATCTGATCGGCCATCTGCTGTGGATAATTTGATCATCTGATATAAAAAATAAAATAAAAATATATTTGAACTGAGTTTTTAGATAAATCATGTGAATTGGTCCATATAAGTGACATCACCACTACCCACCGAGCCAGGTTGTGCATCTCTTTCTCAGCCCACAGGCGGATGATCTTGCGGGGATTCAGCTTGCTGAAGCGTTCCTTGAAGCGGTAGTCGTCCTTGATGTACTTGTCGCGGTTCTTGAACTCATTGAGTGTGGTCTTGAAGACCTTGAGTACACACTCATCTGGGACAGCATTCTCCTCCATGCTAGGAGGAGGAAAAAACCACAGTATTGGAAAACCTTAGAAACCAACTACAACTTAATTAACAGAGATATTTAGGGAAGCAGTTCTATACAAAAACGATTAAACACGTATTAAACAAATACTACAACTATGGCTAACTAAATATGGCAAATAAGTCTACTCTTATAGTGTCTCTGTCAACTATTATGTCATGACAATGTAAATGTCATGCCGTAACCTCAGGCAACGACAGTTCCTGATCTGACTCATCAGGCCAGGTGATAAACGACACCTTTACGCCTTGGGTCAATCAACCTTTGGTCAGTCAATTCAAGGTGTGGGTTCTTGCGACACAACTTGTCATGATGTCACCCTCACCTTCCCCCATCTGCGTGGAACACCACAGACTCCTTTCCAGTGCTGATGCAGCCGTTGATGTTCTCCAGAACGCCCGCGTTCACCATTTTGTACATGAGCAGACGGGTCTTTGGGTCCACTGCTTGTTCCTGTGAATGACAAAAGGACAGAAAAGAAAGCAATTTTTTTTTGAATAATCACTAATTAAAATATATGAAAGTACAGATCTGAACATGGTATAAGGCCATTTTGTTGTTCTTTTCTAAATCTTATTTGTATTGTCAATTCCTCCTTTTGCATAGACTCACAGCAGTGGAGTGTTCCTTTTTCTCATGCAGCCGGGCACTGCGACGCTGCTCGGAGTAGCAGTGTTGCTTCAGGGAGTTGTACACCTGGTTAGAGAGCTTCAGGTCCATGCCAAGCCCATCTCCCACATTGATCTCTGGGGCAAACTGGGAGGACAAGACGGAGAGGGAGATTACAAAAAGACTGACAGTTTGGGATATGTTCACAATTGTGTGTACACAAATTAAGCCACACATTTCAAAGCTAAATGGAGACAACTGCTAATTATGCAAATTTCTACTCATACAATTTCCATGTGTCTGTCTATTGAATAATGCTGAACCAAGCCAAAAGGTGAACTTGTTATCACTCTTACATTGTCCATGCGTGCAGTATTCTTCCTGCCACACACAATCTCATCGTGCTTAGTAGTGATGTTCTTGCCTTTCCCAGTAAAGCCTTTTCTTGGAGTTGTCGTGGGCTTATCTGGAACACATTGAAAAAAAAAGGGTTCATATAGAAAGTTGAACTATCGCTTTAATATAAAATAACCACCAATCAACAGCCACCAATATTATAAAAAGAGCAACAGCCACCAATATTCTATGCAGCAAGATGTTGTCCTGTTATGTGTATACAGTAGATATATTGGGCCTAGCTACAATACTAATATAGGGGTAAAATGATAAAGATATGGACTTTACCAGCTTTGTAGGGGTCGTGGCGAGTGTCTTGCCAATCAACTTCATCCTCGGAGCTGTCGCTGTCCTCGTAAGGGTGCACCATACGGTAGTTCTCAAAGGAGATGGACACTGCAACAGTAAAGACCAATCATCTATCAAATTCTTCATAATCCCACTACTGTTCATTCTTTTTTACACCTTCTAGAAACCTGGTCATGTTTATTAGGGTACAAAACAGAAAAAACATGAAAACATTTTGATACGGTAAACAAAAATGAGTGTTTCTTATTAGACAAGGTCCAGATGTTCTCTCCCCGTTTCAGTCTGTTTTCTTCCGTTCAGTGTATAATGAACACAACCTTTGTATGGTTCTAATACAGGACTTGTTCATAGGCTTACGTTTGCTATCCCCATTTAATTTTTTTTCTTCTGTGCGCAGCTGGGTGTCAAACTCCTTGTCAAACTGCATCTGCAGCATCTGTGCCAGCATCAGATCACAGTCAGTTTCTGGCTCCTCAACGCCATCCAGAGCAGCACTGACACTAAAACAGAGACATATAGGATATTGGACATGAATATGCCGTCCTACACCCCCACATTAACCCAATGTGAGTGTGGTGCGAGTTACAATTGACACTGAAGCACACACCAGCTAGACAAGAGGGTGAAATTGAAATTTAACGAGAATCGACAACACAGAACGGTGGTCTAAAGGATAGGGATATTGATGGTTTTATTATTATTAAGGTACTTACTCTGGGGAATCGGGGAAAGCATTGCTTTCCTCATCCAGTTGCTTGGCCAGCTGCTCGCTCATGACGTCAGCGAGGGAGCAGGGTGATACCACCTTGGTAGTGGTGGCGCCCCATGGACTCTGAAGGACCACACATTCACATTACCTAATAGCAATACAGTCCAACATGATGCTTCCCTTTGCTAACATATCGATGTACTCGTTATGTGCTTGAATAGCTACTTGAATGAAGCAGTAGTTAACCTATTAGTTGACATGCTAAGCTAACTACACTAGACATATTAGCGATCTTGTCAATCAAAAAAGCCATGTCAGGGACATGCCGCGACTTGTCTAACATTACTATAGCTTGCTACTGTTCGCTAGCTACTCTGAATTAGCCAACGTTTGAAGCATATCAGCCTGTTGGCTAGTTGCTATCAAAGTTGCCTGTTGTTGATGAATAAAATGGTTAATTAGTTAGCTAGCTACAGTAGATCAATTCATTTATGGCTGTATTTAAAACTGGTATGCTATAAAAACAAAATAAAGACAGTCGCACACTATGTATAAACTCCCAGTAATTTATTGGGTAAGAAACCACCAACGTTTCGGCATCACTGTGCCTTCTTGCCGAACAAATTACTGGGAGTTTATACATATGGAGTGTGCGACTCTCTTTATTTTGTTTTTATAGCTTACAGTTTATTCACCGTTAGTCAGCACATCTACACTAAAAACAATTCTCTGGGTGTGCGTCAACGCATGCTTTTTATTAGTGTATTTAAAACTAGGTGACGTTATCTGTCCTCCCCAATACGAGCCTTTTAAGGCTCGGCTTTCGCCACGACCAGGGCCATATTACATGTTAAGAATGTCGGACTGACTAGCTAAATTAGTAAACCAACTCACCTTTGGTCCTTCTGCAGTGATCCCTATTTGATCCATGACAGCAGCCCTGAGTTTGTCTTTGACAGCAGCAGTATTCAGACAGTCAGATGTCGGGCTTGACGAGCAATAATCTTAGCTAGCAACACGTTTACGACGACAAACAGTCTCTCTTTTCTTTTTCTCTAGTTTCCTGAATTAGACACAATAATGAAACCGTTTTGATGAGTTTCAAAGTCAAAGTTAATGTCACTAACAGATTTCTTGCTAAATGACAAGGCTTTTACGAGAGCTGTAGAGCTAATTTTGCTTTGCGTTCTTCCAGTGATATTAGAAAAGGAAGAAAGATAAAACCCAGCAGGAAATGAATGGAAACCTATAACGCTCCACCTAGCAGACTGTTGACCAATCGTGTTCAGGTCGTCATGCTGCGTCACGCGGTTGCTATGCTAATCGTCAGCAATCCCTTCTAAAAGTCAGGGTATGAGTCGAGAACCTTGCCTATTTTCCTCAAAATAACGTAATGTAACGATTTCAAAGCTATACGATATTGTAGAGAACAAGTTCATTATGTAATATCACGGAAAACATTTGTAACATTGTACTTCTTGCTCACATAATTCATGCTAATGTTGGTTCTTTGAGTTTGCACCCAATTTATTCCCATTTACTCCGTGAAGGAGTAATCTCCCTCTTCCATAATCACCCAGAATGCACCGCGCGGCCCATTGAGTTCAATTGAGTTTTCCATCTCCTCAAAAGTTTCTCTGGTTCTTCTTCTGAATAAGGAAATGACGTTTCGATCCTTCTTCGGGGTTAAACCAGGCGCATTGCTGCCACCTACAGTTTAATGTGTTTCTCTGCTCCTACCATATACGGTATATGGCTCCTACCCTGCTCCTGAACCAACCCCACCTCCCTTTAGAATATCAGCCTGTCTTATATTATGCTTTTCCTCTTATTTTTGACAAAAAAACAGCATCCCCCTCCGGAAGTCATATGCCACTGCATCAACATTTAGCACTACTGTAGTATCGAGTAAATGCTGGCAATTATTGCTGATAAACAAAGGAGTCCGCTCATACTGAACCTTGATCATACGTTTATTCATATCACAAGCTTTCAGCATGAGTTTACGGATGTCATGACCACCCGGAGAGCGACGTCCCAGATTGCAATGGCCGCTCTAACCTCTTCGTCGTTTTTACCCAGTATATATAATCTTCCCAAGATATGGGTGACTCCCTCTACTGTCCAATCCCCTGTCTACAACACACAGACTTCTCTGTCCTATCCGGGGTGTCACATTAAAACCATTCCCTCTGACACTAAAATAAACATTCTCTCAGATTCCACTTAAAAACATTAACAAAGTCATAATCTTCATATACGACGTTCCCCCCTTCGAGACTAAAAAGTCTCGAAAACAAACAGAATAGGATTATGACAAGTAACAATTTGTCTTATTGCGTATCTTTAACATTAAACCAAAAACATTTTTCTCTAGAGTGTAAATACCTTTCTATGAAATATGAACAAATGTTTATGAAGTGTGAATACATTACTATGAAATATGAACAAATCTTTATGAAGTGTGAGAGCGAAAAACTGTCTGGCAGCCTTCTTTCCAAATATCCATCCATCAATCAAGACAGTAAAATTCTCTCACGGTCCCTCTGCCCCAGGCAACCACCTAGGTACTCCCGATGAATTCATAAATCTTTATCAATGCATTTGAAACTATGATGCAATTAAATACACATGTAAGCCCCTGCAAACAAAATACTATCCAAAAAATATCCACACCAAGGCTGGTCGACCCATCGGACCCTACCGTGGATCTCTATCCCTGCCTAGACTCCCTGTCCCTAAGCATTCACGAAATAAACAAAAACATCTAAGATCCCCACATGTATCCAATAACATCAAATATCATTCTACAAAAAGTAATACCTAAGAATATGACACAAATTATGTATTACACATGCAAATATGTCTATATTTCATTGCAGACACTGGAATGTAGTCCACTACACTTCATCTCCCCCGTAGTCTCGACTTCCAATGCATCTTCGATGATGGAATGGGAACATTTCCACACCTTCCTTGTTCCATCTCCTCCAGTTCCCTTCATATTGTCCTTGTTTGCGTATTTCAATCTCTACATATTCCCCCAAATGCTTCTGGAAGAAAAGAAAAGACCAAACAGTATCTTTTGCAAAACAACACTTTCAAATTAAACATCAATATCAACTAAGAATATAAAAATTATATATAAATGATGTATGAATCACATTATCCTATTTCCCCCCTTTGATTCATAACATCATACTAAAATCACACTAATATTGAATTTTTTTTGTTGAAAAATGATCAAATAATCAAAAAGGATATTTATCCATCAATACTCCATCCAGTCCCACTTGTCCATCTTCATCCAGATCAGGAACAGTCAACAACGGCATCTGAGTGTTGTCTCCAGGCATCACTACTCCAACCTATCTCAATATCATAGCTTTCTCAAAGGTCAGTAACAAATTACAAACATCACACACAGTGCTATCAAAACTGCTATTAAATCGTAAACCATCACTGCTCCCACTGGGCCTAACTGATCTTGCAACCAAGACTTCACTGACCATCCAGCTCCTTCAGATCTACCAAATGCATCTATAACACTAGTGATATTATCTGAACTATCTGGAATCAAAGTATAGCTAATATTATCAATATGATCTTCCCAAATGTTACACCATACCATGGAAAAAGTCCCCCCTTCTCTCTTAGACTTATCCTCCAATGATAGGCTTCAAGACTATGAAATGTAGCCATGTCCCTTTTCACCCTATTTCCAAACCTAGAATCAGATTTATCTGTGTCCAGTGCTACCCCTCTTTTAATGGTAGAAACCTCATATGGAAGCTTCAACGTTGACATGTAACAACATCCTGTCCATCCATAGGGTAAGAATATACAGTGGGGAAAATAAGTATTTAGTCAGCCACCAATTGTGCAAGTTCTCCCACTTAGAAAGATGAGAGAGGTCTGTAATTTTCATCATAGGTACACGTCAACTATGACAGACAAAATGAGAAAAAAAATCCAGAAAATCACATTGTAGGATTTTTAATGAATTTATTTGCAAATTATGGTGGAAAATAAGTATTTGGTCAATAACAAAAGTTTCTCAATACTTTGTTATATACCCTTGGTTGGCAATGACACAGGTCAAACGTTTTCTGTAAGTCTTCACAAGGTTTTCACACACTGTTGCTGGTATTTTGGCCCATTCCTCCATGCATATCTCCTCTAGAGCAGTGATGTTTTGGGGCTGTCGCTGGGCAACACGGACTTTCAACTCCCTCCAAAGATTTTCTATGGGGTTGAGATCTGGAGACTGGCTAGGCCACCCCAGGACCTTGAAATGCTTCTTAAGAAGCCACTCCTTCGTTGCCCGGGCGGTGTGTTTGGGATCATTGTCATGCTGAAAGATCCAGCCACGTTTCATCTTCAATGCCCTTGCAAACACGACGAGTTGAGTTTTTACCAAAAAGTTATATTTTGGTTTCATCTGACCATATGACATTCTCCCAATCCTCTTCTGGATCATCCAAATGCAATCTAGCAAACTTCAGATGGGCCTGGACATGTACTGGCTTAAGCAGGGGGAAACGTCTGCCACTGCAGGATTTGAGTCCCTGGCGGCGTAGTGTGTTACTGATGGTAGGCTTTGTTACTTTGGTCCCAGCTCTCTGCAGGTCATTCACTAGGTCCCCCCGTGTGGTTCTGGGATTTTTGCTCACCGTTCTTGTGATAATTTTGACCCCACGGGGTGAGATCTTGCGTGGAGCCCCAGATCGAGGGAGATTATCAGTGGTCTTGTATGTCTTCAATTTCCTAATAATTGCTCCCACAGTTGATTTCTTCAAACCAAGCTGCTTACCTATTGCAGATTCAGTCTTCCCAGCCTGGTGCAGGTCTACAATTTTGTTTCTGGTGTCCTTTGTCAGCTTTTTGGTCTTGGCCATAGTGGAGTTTGGAGTGTGACTGTTTGAGGTTGTGGACAGGTGTCTTTTATACTGATAACAAGTTCAAACAGGTGCCATTAATACAGGTAACGAGTGGACAGAGGAGCCTCTTAAAGAAGAAGTTACAGGTCTGTGAGAGCTAGAAATCTTGCTTGTTTGTAGGTGACCAAATACTTATTTTCCACCATAATTTGCAAATAAATTCATAAAAAATCCTACAATGTGATTTTCTGGATTTTTTTCCCTCAATTTGTCTGTCATAGTTGACGTGTACCTATGATGAAAATTACAGGCCTCTCTCATCTTTTTAAGTGGGAGAACTTGCACAATTGGTGGCTGACTAAATACTTTTTTCCCCCACTGTATATGCTTTATCACCACAAACCCTCCAAATATCTCTAAAATTCCCAATAGTCACATTGTCAGGCAAAAGCTAATCTTTCACCATCAAAGTCCTGCACTTCTTACTAACTGGAACATAAAAAGTAACATTATATTTCTCATTACTACCCTTAAGGTCATGCTTACCCAAAGTCATCATATAATCATCACAATCTGATATTCCCATAAACATACCCTTTCCATCATATGTTTTATTAGAATAAAAACAACTTTTAGCCCTCACTGCTTTCACCTCCAATGCTTCAGGGTTCGCTGTTACCTGATTTTCCTTCCCATCTAACAAATTCACATAGGGTAATTCATTTAACCAAGAACACTTAAACCTAGGCTTAAACAAATGTTTTGACAACGACATTATTTTATCTGTTCCTGATTGTTGCTGATACAATAGCCATGACAAAGCATAAGAATGACACATACTCGATAGAGGCTGAGCGACCGTCTCTAAAATGTAACCCCACGTGTCTGGTGCTGGAATTCCTCACTGATCTTACAGAATGAGCTAGCTGCTGGAACCAAAGATTCCTACCTGCCCATCCATCTTTAATTTTCACAACAGAAGAATCAAACCCATATGCCTTCCATTTAGTTTCTCTCTTCCCTAACGAGCGGTACTGATCAGATACCTCTCCTTGTCTGTCATTAAAATCAAAGAACTCATCCTGTACCTCCATGATAGTATCCTTCACTATTTCAGATGAATCTATATTCTTCTCTACCACCATCTGCTCTCCTATTTTAACCCTATCCTTACTACCATTGACAGCACTCTCCATCCGTATCATTTCAGAAAAGTCGTTGTTTGTGTCTGTGTCATACTTCCTACATTTGTTACTGCCGTCGTACCATTAATCCCTTTCAAAGTTACCATTAAAGTAGTTGATTTAGTTGATGTATTAACACCCTTAACTACTTCTAGTGGGAAAGCTACCGATATCCTC